AAAGAGGCTGCCCGCGGTTGGTGTGATGTATTGAAGATTATAAACCCCTCTGGCGCCTTTCATCTGAGTCTGCTGTCCGACCCGCCGGCCCTGGGCTTCTCCCATCACCGAGTCTCAGAGCTCATTTTCAGAAAGGGAAACTTCGGTCCAGAGAACCCAATAGGACCCTCCGCTGTCTACAGGGCTCTACCAGATGATCTGTCTCCCTGCAGCTCAGTGCCTGCCCCCCAAGTGTTTAAATGGCACTTCGAGGAAGACCTTCCCACTCTGGGGCAAAAATAAGCCTTCTTCCCCAACACTGGGCATGATTCAGATTCCCAGGTCCAGGGTTGAATGTCTCCTCCTGACACCTCCACTGGGGCTTGGGGCCCAGGGGACGAATCAGACCCAGCCCATCCCAGGAAGCTCACAGCTGTCTTCCTCCCAAGCCACCAGCTCCTCCAGCGTGGAAGTCGGGCACCCAGGACCAAACTTACTCAGACCTGCACACTCAGGACCCCATGTCCCTCCACGCCCCCCTGCCTCCTGAGTCATGCTTCCAGAATTTTACTGAGAATACGTCCACTGGGCCGGCTTGAGAGGCCCTGGGACACCAGCTAGTTCAGTAGGACTCCCTGGCGAGGGGGCGGCTGAACTTTAACTGGAGCTCCTACCCCCGTCGCATTGCCAATTTGGAACATCCTGGTCTCTGTTCGTGTCACGTATTTTAAGATGGAGGTCGTCCAGTTGACATCAGTTCTGCCGTAGCTCTCAACAGTCACACAGGCCGGGTTCAAATTCAGTTGGGCGACCGGCTCAGGGTCAACACAGATCCTATGGTGCTCAGTTTCCAGTTTCCTTGTCTGTGAAGTGGGGAGAATAACGCCCAGCCTTCACAAAACCACTCTGAGAACTGGGAAGATGAGCGTCGACCTCCTGGGCAGATGCAGTTGTGGGTGCAGGAGTCCCCTCTTCTCCAGCCTGGCTGAGCCTCCCTCTTCTTCCCATCTCAAGCTCCGCTTCCTGAGGACACTTTCCCTGATGTTCCCAGGACACCCGCACGCTCCCTCCCCTCCCCACTCCACGGTGTTGACCCCTGCGTCCAGCTTCCGTCCCTTGTTCTCACATTGGCCCAAGAACATCAACTTTGTCTTTCTGGCCAGACCCTAGGTGGCCTGTCCCACAGCATCTCAACACCCTCAAAGGGACCCTAAAAAAAACTTAAAACCCTAAGAAGAAACTTGCTCAGTGAGCCCTGGACTCTGGGAAAGGTGACGATCTAGGATCAGAAAGCCAGGCAGGAGCCCCAGCTCTGCGACATGGCTTTCCAGCGAGATGCTCAGTTATCTAAGCCTCAGCTTCATCATGTGGAAAATGAGGACCAAGAACTGTCTACCTGCAGTGGTTGCTATGGCGGGCCGATGAGCTGACACCTGCGGAAGCCCTTTTGTTAGCAACTGAAACATGCTATTTAAGGGATTATTATTTTCAGATTCTCAGATCCAAACCTACTGATACTTCAAGTTTCCTTACCTAAGATGCAGACTAGCTCTTCTCACGGAGCTTCTCAGCCCCCCGATAATCCACCAAAACCCACATCTTAACTGTCCATCCCAACCAAAAAGCCGACAGCCTAAACGTCACAGCATCTGCGGAACTGAAACCTCCTCCCTGCTGAACCCCACTAGAGCCTCAGGTCGCCGACCGCATCCCTGCTGGCTGGGTGAATCCAGGCAGGGCCCCGCCTCAGACCCGCTCCAAATGCGTTTTCGGCCAAGCATGATCTCTGGCTTGCGGCGGAATTGCTGTGGGAGGGAAACTGGGGAAAGAAATCAGGTGGGCAAGGTTGCGTGGCGGAGAGGGGAGAGCTGTCGTAGTAGAACCCAAGATGCCACTAGAATTTCGTAGCCAACAGTTGCTACATGTACTATAATTATCACATTTGTGTGAAAATCCAAGGCTCTGCATTCTGCTATTTTCATAAGACCGGATGAATTGCAGAAGGAAACATGGTAAGAAGCTGGTGTTCCAGGTGCGATGCCGAGGAACCCGGATCCCTGAGAGCAACGGCGGAGAAATAAAATTCCTGGCAAGGCTGGTGTGGACCCCCAGACTCCGACTCCAGGCCCAGCCCCTCACCCCGGTCTCCCCGTTAACACCGCGCAGGCAGCGCAGACATCGGGGTGTGAGTGGGGACCTGATTTTTCTTTCCCCTGGGAAAACTGCTTTGTTTCTGTGAAGACCCCAAGCCCGGCACCTAACAAACGCCCAGGCCAGACAGCTTTGAAGGGGGAAGGGGGCAAAGAAGGGAGCAAGCCCAGGGAGGTCCCCGAGGTCCTCTGGGGAGCGGGACCCCGAGGGGGGCTGCCCCATCTCCCCGGGATGCCGCCCAGCGCAGGAGCTCCCGCGCCCCGCGCGTTGGGCCCAGCAGCCGCGACCCCAGCAGGCTTCACCGCGACCCAGCAGGCTTCCGAACCCAGGGACGCATCCTGCGACCGGAAATGCACCCCTGCCCAGGCCGAGCCCCCCCCTTTCCTGGCGCCCCCTCCCCCCGTCCGGGCCACAGGCCCCGGATCCCCGGGCTCGCGTGACCGCCGCAGCCGGCAGAGACGGCCCGTCGGCGGCCGCCATCCTCGGCCCTCGCCAGGGCCCCTCCACGCCCCGGCGCTGCGCGGCCGAGGCGCACACAAAAGGAAGGGGCGCACGACCCTGCCGGCCCCCGCCGGCCCGCGGGAGGCCGATCGCGGGGGCCGGCAAAGCCTCCGCAAGCCCCAGAGCGCTGGACGCCGAGGGGGAGCCCCCGCCCCCCCCCCCGCCGCAGGGAAGTCCAGGACGCCCGGGGCGGCGGGGCGGCCGAACCGCCAGCGGCAGGTGCCCCCGGCCGCGCCGCAACTTTAAAACTTTGGGGACAGGGAGCCCCCCAAAGGAGGAAATGGGATGGGGGCGATTTCTGGATTCCTGCAAAATGCACTTCGCGGGGGCCGCGCCGCTCGGGCCTGGCCGGGCTCCCGCGCCGCCCCCGCCCGCGCCCCCGGCCCCCCGCGCCCCCGCGCCCCCCGCGCCCCCGGCCCCCCGCGCCGGCCTGGCCCCGCGGGCTCGGCCGCGCAGACTCACCTCGGCCGGCTGCGCTCCCCGCGGGCCCGCGCCGCGCGCGATAAGTGGTATGCTATGGCTAGAGGTATGATTACGTTATTATTATTAGTAATAATAAGAGTAAATGCTATTTAATTACGGGCGGCCGCATCCTGCTCCCGGCGCCGCCGCCCCGGCAGCTCCGTCCACGCGGCCCCGGAGCGCTCGCCGCTCATCGCCAGCCCTCGGCGGCCGCGCGCGGCTGCTCCGCTGGAGGCGCCGCGTCCCCGCCCGCGCCTCGGGTCCTCGAGCGGCGCCCCGCGCCCCGCGCCGGTGGGCGGCGCACCTGGCGGGCCGCCCCTTCCGCGGGCGCCCGCCCCGCCGCTCCCGCGCTTCCTCCGAGAGCGGCGTCCCGTTCGGGGCCTTTTGTCGGGGCCGTTTTGCATCTCTAGATGGCCCCGGCCAGCTCCGTGGGTGTGACAGCCCCCCGGTTTGCAGGTGCTTTTATTGAAGGGCCCCCCAAAGCCCGGCTGCCGTGCCGTGCCCTTCGCGAGGGCGGGGGACTCAGGCTCGGGGTTTCTGCACAGGATCTTTCCAGAAAGAAGTTGAGGGTGCTTAGAGGACCCAGGACTAGCCCAGGGGAGAGTTACCAAGCAGAGGCCAGCCGCAAGCATCCCGCGCCGGCCTCGGAGCTGGCCAGGGCCGGACTGGATTTGAATCCAGAGCCCTGACTCCGGATTCCCGCACGCAGGGCCGGCCCACACAGCCACTCCCCGGGCCCTATTGATTCCCGAGGACTCCCACTCACGTCCCTGGGAGGGTTCTCTCGAATTTTCCTGTCTGCACTTGACAGTGTTTATGTATAAATACTTATTTTTATACATGCTTATATACACTGGGGATGCCAGGAGCTGGGGATGTCTTCATGGAGCAATTTGGGAACATTTGAACGGACTGTGGTAGGTGCTAGGAAGGACTCACGGACAAAAGTGATGGCGTTGGCACCAACAGGGTGAACGTTTATGTCCAGAAATGTCCTCACCCCACTACCATGGCGTTTAAAATGCAGACTTTTGGGGCTCCCCTGGTGGCGCAGCGGTTGAGCGCTGGGCTGCGAGGCTGCCCGCAGCCCCTGCAGTGCCGGTTCGCTCGGCGAGGGTCCCACAAAAAAAAAAAAAAAAAAAAAAAAAAAAAAACATAAAATGCAGACCTTTTTTTTTTAAGTAATATATCTTCCCAGCATGTATTTTATTTTATTTTTTAAAGATTTATTTATTTATGCATACAAGAGCTGGGGTACAGGCCAGAGGTGGGGGGCGGGGATGGGTGAGAGGATTCACCAGAGACAGAGTGGGGAGCAGAACAGGCAGACGGACCGAAGACACTTCTGAGGGGAGCAGCGGGAGACAGGAGAGGTCTGCCCCACCATGTGGGTTGCTCCTTGGCCGGCTGGAGATCGAACTCGCGCTGCAGAAGCTGCAGATAGCTTCATAGTGTGGTGCTTAACCCCTTGCGCCAGCAGGGAGGCCCCTAAAAGGCAGACTTTTGAGGCCTCCCTGATGCCTTGGGGTTAAGTCTCAGCACTAGCATCCCTGCAGTCTGAGTTGGATCTGCGGCGGGGAGCTGACCCACATGGTGCAGTAAACCTCTCCTGTCTCCCCGCTGCTCCCCTCAGCAGTGCATTTCAGTCGATCCACCTGTTCTGCTCCCCACTCTGTGTCTAGTGAATCCTCTCACCCCCTCACCTCTGGCCTGCACCCCAGTTCTTCTACAATAAAAAATAAAATATAAAATAGGATAAAATATATATAAAGTATATATATACTATATATAATATATAAAATATATTTTATTTTATAAAATATAAAACTTAAAAAATAAAATATAAAATAAAATATAACGTGGACTTTTACCACCATCAGATCCAGCTGTTCCCTCTGGGTACTAACCTGGAGATGCAAAAACGCTAATTCCCAGGGACATCTGACCGCATGTTCATTGCAGCATCTTTTCTCTTATTTTTAATTCATTTTTTCCTTTCAAAAGACTTTATTGGTTGTTTTGAGGGTCAGTAACTGGACATCTCCATCTGTACACAGCTTTTTAATGTACCGAACATCTGAAAAAAAAAAAAATCACTCTCTTGGTGATGGTTTTCTGAAGAATCATTCCCAGTGTCTTTCTAGCCTAAAATTTGGAAGCAAATGTTCCTTCACTGGATATCAAGTAACAATATCCTCATTGTGGATAAGCTGTTACATCCTAAACCCCACTAATTCACAATTTCCTATATCCTAGGCTCCACACTCAAATTTCCTGCCTTTCTCAGCACATTAACAATGTTACTATGGGGGGTGGGGGGCTCCCCTGGTGCCTGGTGGCATAGGCCTTTGAGCGCCAGGCTGTGAAGCTGTCTGCAGCCTCTGTAGCGCTTGTTGGATTCCGGCCCGCCTGTGAGGGTCCCATATGGCACCGCAGACCACTCCTCTCTCTCCTGTTGCTCCCCTCAGCAGTGTATTTCGTCACTCTGCCTGTTCTGTTCCCCACTCTGTCTCTGGTGAGTCCTCTCAGCCTCCCGCGTATCTGGCCTGTACCCCGGTTCTTGTATAAATAAATAAATCTTTAAAAAATAAATGTTACTATGTGGGCCTCCCTGGTGGCGCAGCGGGTTGAGCACAGTGGTGTGAAGCCGTCCGCAGCCTCTGCAGCGCTGGTTTGATTCCCGTTCGGCCAGGGAGAAACCCACACGGGGCGGCAGACCTCTCCTGCCTCGCCCGCTGCTCCCCTCAGCAGTGTGTTTCAGTCAGTCTGCCTGTTCTGTTCCCCACTCTGTCTCCAGCGAATCCTCTCACCACCACCACCACCCCTGCACCTCTGGCCTGTACCCCATTTCTTGTATGCATAAATAAATAAATCTTTTTTAAAAAAAGTGTTTCAAAAAAAAAAAATAAATAAAAAAAATAAAAAAAGTGTTTCTAGAACTGCTAAAAAACTTGAGCATTTACAACAGAGTTGATAGCAACATTCCTCTGGGTTGTACATGAAGGGAGCCAGGGACCAGCGGCAGACAATGTCCATGGCTGGGTGGACCCTTAGGTCCTCGGTCTCTGTTTTCTGCAGGTAAGTCTCTTGGAGCTTTTTTTTAAAAAAAAAGAAAAGAAAAGAAAAGAAAGAAAGATGGAGGGCCTCCCCTGGTGGTGCAGCGGTTGAGCACTAGGCTGCGAAGCTGCCCGCAGCCTCTGCAGTGCCGGTTCGATCCCCGGCCGCTGGCGAGGGTCCCACATGGTGCGCAGACCTCTCCTGCCTCCCGCTGCTCCCCTCAGCAGTGTATTTCATCGGTCTGCCTGTTCTACTCTCTGCTCTGGCTCTGGTGAATCCTCTCACCCTCCCGCGCTTCTGACTGTACCCAGTGCTTCTATAAATAAATAAATAAATCTTTAAAAAAAGAAAAGAAATAGGGTGCAGGCCAGAAGTGCAGGGGCTGAGAGGATTTACCAAAGATAGAGTGGGGAGCAGAACAGGCAGATCTACTGAAATACACTGCTGAGGGGAGCAGCGGGAGAGACAGGGGAAGTCTGCTGTGCCGTGTGGGTAGCTCCCTGGCCAGCTGGGGGATCGAACTCTCGCCAAAGAAACTGGGGACAGCTTCATAGTGCTGCGCTCAACCCCTTGCGCCTCCAGGGAGGCCCTTTTTTTCAGTTATATATATATATATATATGTATTTTTTAAAGATTTATTTATTTATTTATACAAGCACTGGGTACAGTCAGAAGTGCAGGAGGGTGAGAGAATTCACCAGAGCCAGAGCGGGGAGCAGAGCAGGCAGAAGGACCGAAGCACACTGCTGAGGGGAGCAGCGGGCGGAGGAGAGGTCTGCGCGCCACGTGGGACCCTCCTCAGGTGGCCGGGGAGCAGCCGGGGATCGAACCGGCGCTGCAGGGACCGCGGGCAGCTTCGCAACCCAGCGCTCAACCGCAGCGCCACCGGGGACGCCCTCAGTTTTATATTTTTACATTATGATCAGTGGTTAGTTCTCATCCACATTGACTGTAGACCCCTCCTGGGGATTGAACTCATGTTACAGTGACTGACAATAGCTTGATAGTGCTGTGTCTTTAACTCCTGCACCACCAGGGAGGCCCAGGAATCTCATTTAAAGCAAGAGTTTTAGTTTAAAGGAAACCAGTCGCCAGTCATATAGGGTGCACCTGCAGTCTGGGCTGGGGGTGTGCACAGATGCCTGTTTCAGGCATGGTGCCCTTCCCTAACCCGTGGCCTCCATCGCTCCTGCTTCATGAGCCAGGCACCTTGCACATGCTTGTTCTCCTACCCTCCCCAAACCCTGGGAGTTGGGGATCAATTTTGGCCTGTTTTCAGGGGAGAATGCAGACACAATGCAGTTGAGTCACTCGGCAGAAGCCACACAGCTAAGAAAGAAGCAGAGACAGAATTCAGTCTCTGGCCTGAAAGGCCCAGCCACCACACTGTGACGTGGGCAGCTTAATTCTGGATATATCACTGGTCGGTCCCGAGGACTGGTTTGTGAGCAGATCGCTGGAGAATGGGAGTAGGACATTCTGGCCTTTGAGAACATTATGTGCTTTAGTGCACCAGGCTTAGTTCTGGCCAGACCTGGCCCCCGGAAATGCCTTGCTATCTCCTGGGGAAAGCCGAGGTGAGCACATGGCAACCTCAGCAGGATGTGCGTGCAGTGTCCATTTACTCAGTCAACAAACACTTATTGCCAGGCTCCCAACTGGGTCCTCCAGCTGCAGAGAAAGCCTGTACCTACCCTGCCACCACCCCCAGTTCTAGGTTCCAGCCCTTCAACAAAGGATCTTAACTTGGGCTTTAAGAAAGGAACTTGGGGCCTCCCCTGGTGGGGCAGCAGTTGAGTGCTGGGCTGCAAAGCTGCCCGCAGCCTCTGCAGCGCCAGTTCAATCCCCGGCCACCGGCAAGGGTTGCACATGGCGCGCAGACCTCTCCTGCTGCCCGCTGCTTCCCCCAGCAGTGTGCTTCATCACTCTGCCTGTTCTTTTTTTTTTTTTAATTTTTTTTTTTTAATAGAGGCATGTTTTATTTATTTATTTATTTGTTTGTTTGCTTGTTCGTTTATACATGCACTGGGTACAGTCAGAAGCGCGGGAGGGTGAGAGAATTCACCAGAGCCAGAGCAGGGAGCAGAGCAGGCAGAAGGACCGAAGTACACTGCTGAGGGGAGCAGCGGGCGGCAGGAGAGGTCTGCGCGCCATGTGGGACCCTCCTCTGGTGGCCGAGGAGCAGCCGGGGATCGAACTGGCGCCGCAGAGGTCGCGGGCAGCTTCGCAACCCAGCGCTCAACCGCTGCGCCACCGGGGAGGCCCCCACTCTGCCTGTTCTACTCTCCGCTCTGGCTCTGGTGAATTCTCTCACCCTCCCGTGCTTCTGACTGTACCCAGTGCTTGTATAAATAAATACATAAAATAAAAAAAAAAAGAAAGGACCTTGATCCTCATCACTGTGGCTCTGATAGGGGTAATTAGAGAGAGGTCACTCTGAGGATGAAGTGAGAGGCTGTGCACAAGGCATAGATGAATGTGTGGTTGTGAAATGAAAAAATTAAAAATACATTCTCCTCTGAAAACAGTCGTAGACTGCAGATTAGGAAGGAGAGTGACCTCAGGATAGTGAAGTCAGCCTAAGCGGCCACTGTACCATAGTGGGTGAAATGCCGTGATATGGCAACGTGCTTATGAAAATAGTCAGACTCTCAGCAAGTTGTAACTGCCATGGATTACTCTTCAGTTGTTACCATTTTGTTATATTTACTTTATCACATATTCATCTTTTATCCATCCATCCACTGCATTTACACTAATTTTAAAATGTTGCCTTTGTTTTTCATTAATTTTTTTCTCCATTTGGAATGAGAAAATTAAGAGAGAATAGAATCTACCCCAAGCATTTAGGACTAGAAAACCCCCCATAAATGTTAGACCTGAATTTGACCTCCTCTATTGCTGCAGGCTGCGCTACCCTTGCTGTCTCTTGACAAGGTCGGGGCCTTGGGGGAGACTCCCGAGAAGAGGGGAGTCCTGCACTTCTCAGAAGATCTGAACTAGGGAGTCTCTATGGCAACGCCTGCTAATGCTCTCCTGTTTGTTCTTGGTAAATACATAAGTAATTTAGTTATAAATTGCCTTGTGAAAACCTAATTCGGACCCAGGTGACAATTGGCTTATTGTTCTCATGCATGAACTATCACAAAAGAAGTAAAAATTGTTAAAGATAGAGTTAGGATAGAAATGTCCTGGCCCTGAGAACTAGGGAGAACAAGCTGCCCTGAACCAACTGTGCTTGGAAACCATAGCCTAACCTGGGGGGTACGTGTTTGTGGCAACAGAACATCTCCTGGCGTATGTGAAAGGTTAACAGTTCACAGGTTGTGTGGAGGTTAGGTATTTCTAGTTAAAAGTTAGATTTCTGTAGAACTAAACAGTATTGATGAGTTACTTTAGATCACTTTGAAGTAATTGATAGACTAGATTAATTAAGTGCTAGGGAATGGGCTGATTTTAGTAATAAAATATAACAATGGGCTTTCATGTCCACTCCGAAATTAGGAAAGCTTGACAGGATGATTGATTGTTGCTGAACATTGTACTGTCTTAGACAATTGATTATGTTAGAAAATGAGTTGTACCGAGGAGAGTCATTGTCCCTGTTGTTTTTCTTAATCAGATTAAAGAAGTGTCCTTTTTTTTTTTTTAATAGGGGCATGTTTTATTTATTTATTTATTTATTTATTTGATTGTTTTGTTTATACAAGCACTGGGTACAGTCAGAAGCGCGGGAGGGTGAGAGAATTCACCAGAGCCAGAGCGGGGAGCAGAGCAGGCAGAAGGACCGAAGTACACTGCTGAGGGGAGCAGCGGGCGGCAGGAGAGGTCTGTGCGCCACGTGGGACCCTCCTCCGGTGGCCGGGAGCTGCCGGGGATCGAACCGGCGCCTCAGAGGCCGTGGGCAGCTTCACAACCCAGCGCTCGTCCGCTGCGCCACCGGGGAGGCCCAAAGAAGTGTCCTTTTGTAGTATGAGATCAAGAGGGTCTCTGTATGTTCATGAGAAAATATGTATTGATTGTCTCTGTTCTGCTTTGATGCTTATGTTGATGTAATCTCACTGCTCGCTCACCTTAAGGTATAAATAAAGACCCGCTGAAACCCTCAGCAGGAGATACTTGCAAGAAAGAAGTGTCTGTATCTACCTCACTCCACTTCCCCTCAGCCCCCCAAGACTTCACCGACGCCGTCCTCTCCTTTCTGAGACCCCTGACACATCTAGCTGGAGCTGGTCTCCAGCACTCTATATCACTGCAGTCTTAGGAACTGCAAAGTGCCTACCCAGTACACAGTAGGTGCTGGAGAACTATTTGAGGGGTGAATGAATTGTTTTTATGATGGCTGTTCATCCACATTTAAATAAATGGGTGTTCTGATAGGAGACCTGGCTTGAGCCCAGGCTGGGATGAGGTGGGGGTGTGGGTTTGAGTCATGCTAACAAATGATGTAGCAATCCCCATGCAGAGGAAGTGACACTAGGGATCTGGGGGCCAGGCTCCCTTGCAGTATGGGTAGTACAGGCCCACCCATCTCTTTCCAGGGGCCCAAGGGGAGGGCCGGTTGGATCTTGGAATTTCGCTCCACATTCCTCACGTGTCTGACATACTTCAGGCGTTTGATTTTGGTCGGATTAAATGGCCAGTCTGCAGCCTTGGTAACTCTTCAGGAAAGCAGCATAAATACTGTTATTTATTCCATTTACAATTGGCAGTTAAGTTTGTTTTTAGGCACCACAATGGCATTTAAAGCATTCAGTTAAAGTAAACCAAACTAATCACGGGCAGCCTGCTTTTCTCTTCAAAACATTTTTTAAAAACAAACAGACTACACACCAGAGAAATAAAGTGCTGGAACACTTCCCTTCCTCTTAGTCCCCCCCACACTCACCTCACACTCATAAAATAACTTGCTTTGTTTGTATTGAAAAAGACCCTGAGACCCGGCATCTTCTGTCTCTTGTCTAAATTGCTGTGTGATTTGGGCAGGTCATTCGACCTCTCTGGACTTCAGTTCATCTGTTGAAATGAGGAAAGGTATCCTGTATCCATCCATCAACGGCCATAGCCGTAGGCAAACACACTAGCTCTGGTGATAACCTGAAAAAAAGAATTGTTGATTCCTAACCACAAATACCCCACAACTTATATGTTATAATTTGAGGTCACTTTAATTTAAAAAAAGTTGGAGAAAGGAAAAGAAGAAGACATGTGTTGGTGATGATTCTGGACTCTCCTGACTCACAGTGTACTCTTGGGCAACCCCCCCTCCTTTTTAAACCCCAATCAGCCCATTTTTAAAAAAGATTTATTTTTACTTATTTATGCATGCAAGAACTGAGGTATAGGCCAGAGGTGTGGGGGAGTGAGAGGATTCACCAGAGACAGAGTGGGGAGCAGAACAGGCAGACTGACTGAAATACACTGCTGAGGGGAGCAGCGGGGAGACAGGAGAGGTTTGCTGCGCCATGTGGGTAGCTCCCTGGCCAGGACTGAACTCACACTGCAGTGGCTGGTGATAGCTTGATAGCACTGAGACTTTAACCCCTGCACCACCAGGGAGGCCTGCAATCCCATTTTAAAGGGAATTGAATTAGATCTAGACACAAGAGTAACAAAGTGGGTTGCTGAAAGGTGCTGCAGGCTGGGCTTGTGATCTTGAGCTTGAACATGTACATCTCTAGGCAGAGCACCTACTTTCTCGTTCTCTACAAGCCCCCACTACCTCCTATGACCTCCTGTCCCCTAAGATCCTTGAGTTTCTGCTAAGAATTTCCTCCCAGTCCTAAAAACCCTATGATCCGTCCACTGGATGAGGAAGGGGAGGAGCCCCTACGATATCCCACTGCCCACTTTGCTCTTCCCTTCGGGAGGTCTCTGTCAGAGATCCAAGTACAGTCTCAGGAAGTAAAATTGGGAAAGGGAGCCTGAGGATCACCTGAAGAAAAACCAGCCTGATCTCATCAGTCCCGGCTGGAACCAGTGCAGGGAGTACCAGCTCTGACTGGCAGTGCCTCGGCCTTCTGGGACAATGATTCATTTTAAGCAAACATGTGGTGACCCTGGCTGGAAAATCGTTTCTATAAGAGGAAACCTGAAGCACCTGAGATTGGCCAGCCCCAGAGAGGATGCTGCCAAGCTGGACACAGGACCCGCCCCAGGGGCCTTCTGAGGCTGAGGAGGAAGCTGCCAAGATACTGGGAACTCTGATTCTGAAAAAGTCCTCAGAGCCTCACACCAGCTGCTGTGGGGATCTGCAGCTTATTGGGGAGGCCCAGGGGAAGGCGACTCATTCTACTGAAGTGGTGCAGGAAAGCCTCCTGGAGGAGGTGGCACTTTAGGCAGGCGAGGAGGAGAGGGAGGGTGGGAAGAGGAGCTACAGCTTAGCAGTTTCCTGAAGCCAGGCTTAGGACCCCAGTGCTGGCATTTCTGCACTGGTGGTAACGAAGCCCACTTCCTCTGTCCCTGTAAAGATTAAATTAACTGTGCGTGAAAGGTCCTGACATAATATGTTCAACTCTAAATTGCAGGTAAAACGCCCATGTGTGTGCTGGGTTGTGAGAGGTGACTTTGAAGAAAGCTGCGTCTGTTGACAGTGATTATCTCTGGGTGCTGGAGTTTCTGGGGTAATGTTTACTTTTGTTCTATATTAGTTGAAGCGTTTATAATGAACACATGTTATTTATAGAATGATTAAAATGTTCTTTGTGAAAAGAAAAGCTATCTGTGTTTAAAAAAATATTCAAACCTACAGAAAAGCGGAGAGGTTCAAAGAACCCCCACATGCCCTGCACCCAGAATCGCTTATTAACATTTTGCCACGTTTGTGTCCTCGCTCTGCATATGTATGTCTGTATGTGTGTGTATGTGTGTATGTGTATGTGTGTGTGTGCCTAGACACATTTTTGAAAGCCACCTGAGAATAGGTTGCAGACATCATGCTCCTAGTCATTCCGGCGTGTCTCTTGCATAACCCACTACAAAAACAAACAAACAAACAAACAAACAAACAAAACCAGTAAATGTAACGTTGATAGAATACAATTTAGCAGTCAAACGTTGCTAATTTGTCTCAATACTGCTTTGTAACAATCCCCGCCCCCCACCCAGGACCCTGTCCTGCATTTAGTTGTCGCATATTTTTAAGTCGCTTTTAATCTGCAACAGCTCCTCAGGTATTGTTTCACGCAACATTTTGGCGGCTGCTCCCCCAGTCTGGGTCTGTCTGATGTTTCCCCGTGATTAGGCGGCGCTTAGCGCCTCGGTCGGGGGCGACGCGGCGTCCTCGGTGCCGCGCATCCGGAGGCGCGCGAAGGACGTCAGTTCGAATCGCTCTGTGTGCGCAGTCTCTCGCAGGGGTGACCTCTTTTCAGTTATCAGGGGAGGCTCGAAGGTCCTTTCAATTTCATGAGAGAAAAAAAGGGAGGCTTTCGTCGCAGGAAATGGACACCTGAGTGACGCCGACGAGCCCGCACGGCGCTTTGACCACGCCAATGCTTGTCAATAAAGTTACGTGAACGTGAACCTCTACGGAAGGGCGGAGCGCGCCTGCCGCAAGGCATTTCGGGAATTGTAGTTTCCCTAGGCGCTCGCGGCTCAACGCCGCCCGACGGTCTCCCGAGAAAAAGTCAGAGTCGAAAGGGGAGGGCACAGAGAGCGCGCCGACGGGGGCATTCTGCGCGCGGTGCATCACGGGACTAGTAGTTCTCGGGCACGCCCCTGCCGCGCCCGGCGCAGGAGACCAGGACTACCATACCCGACAGGCCGCGCGCTCGGGGTAGGCCTCGAACAAATCAAATCGCAGGAAAGAAACTGCCGGCTTTCAAAATCCTCCTCCTCCGCCATCATCCGCCGCCGTGCGAGAGCAGGTGGTGTCGGCACGCGAGAGGCGAGAACCGGCCGGAGAGCTGACGAGCCCGCGGGCGGGGCATCGGAGCCGCCGGCCTCGGAGGTGGCGACCCGGGCCTGACCCGGACCCTAAATCGGCCCCCGCGCCGCCGGGCGGTCGCGCGCCCCGGGTCGCCCCGCGCGGGCGCCGCCTGCTTGCGGTAGGGTCGGGCCCTGGCGCGGCGCCGCCACCTGCGGGGACGGGCGGGGGCGGCGGGCCCGGGCCCGGGCGGGGACGCTGTGGCCCCTGCGGGCCGCCTTCCTGCGCTTGCGACGGGCGGAGGGCGGGCGGCGGGGGCGCTGGCCCCTTCCCAGGCGGGAAGCAGGCTCGGGGAGGGCGTGCGGCCGCCCGGCTCGCCCCTGCAGCGGCGGCGGCACCTGCGGGCGGTGGAGCCCTCCAGGGACCCCGCGGGCCCCGCGCTGCCCTGTCGTCTGCCGCCCGCCGCCGCGCCCCGGCGGGCCCACCCCTCTGGGGCCTGGTGGGCGCCGCAGCCCCCGGGAATCGGCGCGAGTCGCTGCCGAGGCTTCGCGGGAGCGATGGCCGAGCACCTTCCGTCGCTCGGCGCCCTGCCCGGAGGCAGCCGGCTCGTGTGTTTGTTTACGTCTGTCCGCGCTCCGCCGCTGACCCTTTGCAGACCGCGGTCAAATCAGTTCGCCTCTCTGCGCTTGGGTTTCATAGTCTCGTTCCCTGCCGTGCTCCGAGCCCCTTCTAAGTGCCAGACCCTCTGATGCACGCGGAGAGCAGCCCTGTCAGATCCGCCCTCCCACGCCTAACCCCCAGGGGCGCTCCTTGTCGCTCAGAAACAGACCGTCTTCAGGCCTTTCTCACTCAGTGCTCTAGCCCCATGGGCCTCCTTGCAGTCCCTCTTACCCGCCCTTCCTCCCCCCAGAGACCGTGCATTATAGGGATGCTTTCCCCAGAAATCCACATGGCTCCTTAAAGTCTTTGTTTCTTTTCTGAAAATAGCTCCTCAAACCATTCTGCTTTGAATTGTACCTCACTAAAGAAGTCCTTCCGCCCCCCCCCCTTCATTTCTGTTCTTATCACTCTCTAAGATACTAAATGTCTTGAACATGTGCTGAGGAGGGCAGGGCTTTGTTTCATTCACTGCTGTACTCCTGGTACCTGGAATGACGTCCCAGGCACAGTACTCAGTGTTTGTGGAATGGATGTGTGAGCACCTCCCCAACCAGAAGAATTTGTGCTGATTCAGACAGACAGACCAGTATGATAAAGATTTACAAAAGGAGAAGGGGGTGGGAAGCTACCTGTTTGGGCCCTGAGGAGGCCTGGGGGATAGGAGGGTAGGGAACTGTCACACAGTGTCTGGGAAGAGGAGGCATGGAGGATAGAGGAGTCTCTGGGTGCCTCCTAATGTGTCCCCCTCACCCCCCTCTAATCACCTGCCGTCTCCTCTTGGTGGAAGTGGGGCGTCCCTTCTGTCAGTTTGAGCTCCAGGTGAGACACCCTTTTCCAGTAACTGCCCCTGGTCTATTGTGATGAGGCTGTTGTGATGTGGAGACCCCTGGTCTCCTGGGAACCCCTGAACTCCAGCCCAGTGGGTTGCCCAGTCTCCAAGCCAAGGGTCAAAGCAGACGTGCCCTGTGCCCCACCCCCAGAGTCATGCCAGCGTGGGTGGTGGGGGATTCCCTGGAATGGATGACCTGGACCCTGTAGCCATCTGTGTCCAGTTTGAGGATTGGGGCCCTGAAACAGACAGTGGCCAAGATGATCAGGCAGGTGAGTGCCGGGGGCAGAATCTTTGCAGCTTTTTTTCTGGGCCTCGGTTGCCATTCTTTGGGGGCTCAGAAAATGGGCAACTCACATGATTTTGTTGGGTGTTCCAGCGGGGCCTCTGGGGAGACAGAGGAGGACTTGTGGGGAAACAGTGATCCTTCAGAGGTCAAAACATGATTTTCCTGCTTTCTTGCTACCTCCTCTGCTTTTCTAGAATGGTCCCCTCCCTAATGCTGTTTTCATTTCTTCTGTGGTTTAGCTTTGCGGTCTTCATCGCAGGGGAAGGTGGAGTCAGGCCCCTGAGACTGCTGATGTCCTTTCCTGCCCCAGGCAACCTTGCCTAATGAAACCTCGGCCTTAATCAGTTTGCAGATCTCCAGGGGAGCCCACCTGCACGACCACCATGGCCTCTGAAGACATTGCCAAGCTGGCAGAGACGCTGGCCAAAACCCAGGTGGCCGGGGGACAGCTGAGTTTCAAGGGCAAGAGCCTCAAGCTCAACACTGCGGAAGATGGTGAGTTTGGGCCCCGCCTCACTCCCCCCCCCCCCCCCCCCCCCCGCCACAGGAGAAAAGGGAGTGTGAGAGTGAGCACCTCCTCTTCCCGGTTGCCTGGCTCCTTTGCTCCCTCCTCACCAGCTCTGTCCTAGCAGCTCTGAGGTATCGGCGGGCCACCTAACAGTGAGTCTCGAAGATCATTTGCCTGCGAGCACCCGCAGGCTTCCCTGACCGTTTTCATGGGTGTCCCTGCTGTGGAGACAGTTGAGGCTGGCAGGTGGCCTGTTATCTCTTAGAGGGGATGGTAGGCAGTGAGGGGCACAGTGAGTGGCAGTTCCAACACAGCCCTCTTACTTAAGCACCACCCCCTTCTGCACCCCCATGACCCTAGGCTGGTCTGGGAATACCTGTTGCCTGCCCCAGAGCTGAGGCTCATGGGTCTGCATTAGAACAACAATCCAGTCCTCCTGGGAGGATCTGGTCTGTGCAGCTTGGTGCTCCTGTGGCAGGGAGGGGTGCTCCTGTTTGTGTATAGGCGCATGGACTGGAGAGAACCAGCACACAGACCCTAGCTTTCCACCCCCGGCCAAGGCACACTGGGTATTGGCCAACCTTGGGTACCCCGGCTTCTGGGAGTGAAGGCACTTACGTCAGGACTTGAAGGCCTGTTGAGGTTCCAGCTCAACCAGGGAAACTGGTCTCACCTCACCCTGTTGTCACGGCGCAGGCAGGCGTCAGGGGTTGCTTGAGCCCTTGGCTGCTAGGGGCGTGGTGGCACCCGACCCTAACATGAACACAGGGCTTTAAAAATTACAGCCTTCCTTCCTGAGCTTTGATTGCTTTTGATCCGCGCGTCACCCCTAAGGGAGGGAGACCTGTTGCTGTTTTGTAAATAAGGAAGAACAACTTGGGAGACTGCAGTGACCCGCCCAAGGTCATGCGCTGGGAAACAGCAGGGCCAGAAAGGTCCAGCTGCACCCCTGTTCCTGTGCTTCTGAGTAGACATTCGGCTCCATTCAGTAGATGTGGGTTCACTATTAAATTGTCTTCCCTGAGCACTGTGTCGGCAACAGAGTGTTTCGTGTCGTGCAAACATCATTTCAGAATATCCTCACAAAAGCCCATGAGATTGGTGTCACCCCCATTTTGCAGACTGGAAAGTTGTGGCTCAGGGAGGTGATAGACCTTGCCTGCGGGCACGGTTGCAGGTAACGGAGCTGGGTGTAGAATGCGAGCTTGTCAGCTCTGGAAGCCGCGTGCATGCCCAGCTCACTGCCCGCCTCTGGGGGCGCCGGCCTGCGCAGGAGTGGGTCCCCAGGTTGCTCACGGGAGGCACAAAGGTGACACATACTCTGGGGGGCCCATGCCCATCCACATCTCCACCTTCCTGCCACATGTCACCCCTCCATCCTTTGCCGGCCACACTAGCTTTCGTTCATTCCCTGTAACTTGGGTGTTTTCCTTCAGATTGTCAAATAAATACTTGCTTATTACAGAATACAGAATCCTTGACAGAAGAAAAAACCATTGTCACAGTTAATTTTGGTGCATTTTTCTCTCTTTTTCTCCCCTTGCTTATTCCAACTGCCTAGGACTCTGGTGCATTTTCTTTCTGGTCTTTCTTTTTTCCCTAAACATAGTTGACTGCTTTTTAAGAAAAATAAGTGGGACCATATTACAGATACTTTTAAAAGCTGCTTTAAACCTGATCTATTGAGAACGTCTCATTGAAGGTGATAGAAAAAAACTGAGATCATCCACGAGCCCACCACCTCTGAGCGGGTAGTTACTGCTTTAACATTTGATTTCAATCCCACTAGACCTTGTTCTCTGCGTGAGAGAGGGAGAATACATACAGCATTTTGTAAGTGTGACCAGCCCAAACCACTTTGGATAGCCTCGTTTTTTATTCCCCACTTGGCCTGGCACATGCCATCCTGGGCCATGCCCGCTTGCCACCCACAAGGTGCCCTGAGCATTTTTGCCTCCGCAGCCAGTTGCTCTTTTCCTTTGGCTCCCAAGCCCCCCGCATGGCTGCCTGACCCACCTTTGTCAGCCATGGAGTCGCGAGTGACACAGTAGCCTCTCCTGCCTTGGCTTGTCCATGACTCCAAAAGTCTAAGGCTAAGCTTCTGTTCTTTGGTCCTGGGCAGCCAAAGACGTGATTAAAGAGATTGAAGACTTCGAGGGCTTAGAGGCTCTGCGCTTGGAGGGCAACACGGTGGGTGTGGAGGCCGCCAGGGTCATCGCCAAGGCCCTGGAGAAGAAGTCGGAGCTGAAGGTGAGAGCAGCAGGGTGAGCGGGCCCAGCCCGTTGGGGGAACAGGCTTCTCTCACATGGCCACAGCCTGTGCCCAGACCCTCCCGGCCCTTCCCGGTTGGCCCCCCACGAGCAGCTCCTCTTCCTCTGGCCTCCCAGTGTATCGGGCCAGGGGCAGGCCCCTCTCCCTGCGTGAGGTGTCTGTTAGGGGCCGGCAGTAACAGACTCAGCAGTGGTGTTAGGAGCATGAGGGCTTCCTTGGGGAACGTGGAAGATAGAAGGGGAAAAGCAGAACGGGGCAGGGAGAACCTGGGCACAGGGAGGGAGCCTCTGACACACTCGGCCTCCCAGCTCCTCCCATCAGGCGGCCTGCTCACTGCTTGGAGATGAACGGTGAGTTCTTTCTTAAAGTTTATGTCCTGGGGTTCTCCTTGGCCAACACAAAAATTCTGGTTTGTCCCCAAGTGGGTTCCACCAAGCTACAGTCCTCCAGAGGCTCTGTGAGAAAATTGGGGTGTCACATGTTCAGAACGTGAGCTGTCAGCCCATGTGCCCCTTTCCTGGGAACTCCAGTATATATAAGCACCTTAAAGCCCTGAAGACTCAGGAGGGAGACCTGTGTTCCCACTGGACGTGGTTCCAGGCCTGGGCTGGGCTCTCTTGCTCGTGTCTTCAGTCCTCACAGCGACCTCGGTAACGAGACCGTCTCCACTTTGTAAGTCAAGGGAACTGAGGCTCGGAGCGGGAGTAAATAGTGCAGGTCCCGAACGCTGTGACTGAGCCACGTTTCGCACTCTGTGCCCAGGGCTCCTTCCGTGGCCCCGCGGTGCTTTCTGAAGGGCCAGGCAGATGGGACCGGAGACACAGGAGGACATGGAATACTTTTCCTGTGGGGCCGTGGCTGGCCCACGAAGTGCCCCTTGATGTTTCCTCTGGAAGAGGACGGCCAGGGTCACTGCGTAGGCTGTGCTGTTGCTGCTCTCCTGCCCGGGGACTCCCCTCTCCTTGAACTTAAGTGGGAGTGTTTCCCTACTAAAGAACTCGGCCCTCCCTGGCAACCTGTAAAGGGCAGGATTGGAGGAGTTGTGGCTGGGGCCCATGGGCTGCGGTGGCTGAACTTTGGTATCTCGGGGCCCAGGTCCAAGCCCCAGCTCTGTGGTCTGTGGCCTTGCACCAAACTCAGCTGTGGTCTGGGTTCCTTCCGGGAAAGGAGCCCAGGAAGGCGGCCTCCCTGCCTCGGGTGGCCAGGTGCAGGCTTGTGTCCTGAGCGCTTGGCCAGGGTGAGTTCTGTGTCCGTCCTCTCCCCCTTGACACCCAGCCCCTGAGTCAGCCATCCCGCCGTGGGTCTGGGGCCTGCTCCTGTGGCAGGAGGAACCAGGGTGGGGGCAGGGCAGGTGCTGCGGGGTGTTCTGGGCACGGGACCGATGCGAGATAAAGAGGTTATCACCCTGGTGCGGCGCCAGTTAGTCTTGGCAGATGAGGTCCCGCGGCCTCCAGGTCTGAAGGGTTGAAAAGAGGCTTTAGTAAAGGGACTTCTCGCTGCTGGAGCACACAGTGTCCTCCGTGTTCGCTAGTCCTGGTCACCTGCCGCTGTGGCCAACACCACATGGGGGCTGGGACGGGCACTGGGCTGGGAGACTGTTGTCACTCTCTTGGCGTTACCACCGCTTTGTCGGGGCACCTAAGGCCGGTCTCCCTCAGCCTGATTTCCCTCCTGGAAAACCAGGGCTGTGTAGATCAGGGGTCTTCCTGACACTCCTACTGAGCTCCCCATAGTGCCTGGAGGCCTCCAGGTCCCACCAGCTTTAGCCAGAGCTGGTCCAGCTTCTGGCTAAGAAGCCCAGACTAAGATCTCGTGGTGCTTGCGAGACTGTGTCTTCCGGGACAAGGTGCTGCCCGCAGGCCGCCTCTCAGGGCTTCACTAACGCCTCTCTTCCTGCTTCCAAAGCGATGCCACTGGAGCGACATGTTCACAGGGAGACTGCGGTCCGAGATCCCGCCAGCCCTGGTGAGTGAGCAAGGCTGAGATTCCCAGCCCTGGCCGTGCCCGGGGCTTTTCTCACACGGTTCTGAGATGCTGAAGCGAAGCCAGGCAGGCCCAGCCGCGGCCCTGTGTCCCGGGGCAGGTGGGCACCCGGGTGCTGACGGGGAGTCAGGCGCCGTGACAGACCGGGGGTTCTGTGGTGTTGCCTAGGTTGCAGATCTTGCTTCCTGCACGCTCACCCCCCTTGTCCTGGCGCTTCCCGCCCTGCCCCAAGGTCCTGGTCGCAGGCCCGTCTCCCTCACCCCACTCTTTGTTTCGCCTCTTCACGAGCTTCCTCTGCCCGGTTTTCACTTCCCCATTCCCTGGACTCTGATCGACGTGTGTGCGTGTGTGTACGTGCACGCACACACACACCCGTGCGGGAGGGAGCACTGCAGACAGAACGTGGCTTACCTGGGCCTTGTTTGAAAAGCGCCTCAGTCTGGCGGACAGCGACGCGTCATCCGGGGGGTGCAGGCATCGTCCTGGGGCCCGGCGGGCACAGAGGCGCTGGGAGAGTGGTGAAGCCAGTCAGTGGTTTCCATGCAGGCTCAGTTCATTTGTGTGATTGTGGGGAAAAGAATTTGAAGTTAGAAAACAGGATGAATTAGACTTACTTGGTGGGGGCCTTTTTCTGTGCCCCCAAATTAAATTTGAACATTTAATTTCCTCAAGCTTTGAGGGAGTGTCCTTCGCTCCATGAGTCTTAGGAAGGGGGAGTAACAGAACTGGGGTCGGGAGGCCTGGCGTGCAGGAAGGGGGAGCCGGGGGAGCACAGGGTTTGAGGGCTGGAGGTCACTTGGGACCAGATTACCAGGGACTGGGCCTCCTTCCTCCGGGGCTTGGGGAGCGAGGGGAGGGCCCTTCCACGTTGAGTCAGAGTTGTTGATTCCGTGGCAGGGGGACAGGCAACTGCCTCGGATACCCTGTCTCCTCTCCCCGGCGTCTCCCATAGAACCCCTGCCCCGGCAGGCCTCCCAACTCCATTTCCGCCCCAAGTCTTGTGCCGAGCCTCTCCCCTTGCCCATCCTCTTAAGGGACTGTGGGTATCCCCGGCCCGGTAGTCCAGGAGAGCTCAGCATCTCCCTGCAAAGTCTGGTCCTGGGTTGTAGCTTGGGAATGTGCACCCTGGAGGCGTCAGGGGTGCCTCCCTCCCACACCTTCAGCTCACCCCCAGCGTCTGCGGGTCCCCCTCCCTCCCTCAGCCGCCTCGGTTTCTCCACCTCCCGCCACACTGCAGCTGCCTCCGTGTCCTCTTCGCTGCCTTCCCTGGGGCGGGGGCTCCTCGCTCGTGGCTGACTGGTTCTCACCCAGACTGAGCTGGCTTCCCTGACGACCCCGCAACCTAACCCACCCCCAGCTGAACCGGAAGCCTCTGTGGGTCTGCAGTCCTGGGTGTGCATGCGTGACACTCTGTCCTGAAGCGGTCTGTCCCCTCCCTGGGCTGGGTGCCCCCTGCGGGCGGGACGACCTGGCACAGAAGCAGCCCCTGCGGCGGGTGAGGCTGACGTGCGTGCACTCCCTTTGTTCTCAGATCTCACTCGGGGAGGGACTCATCACAGCCGGGGCCCAGCTGGTGGAGCTGGACCTCAGTGACAATGCGTTTGGGCCTGATGGCGTGCGAGGCTTCGAGGCCCTGCTCAAGAGCTCTGCCTGCTTCACCCTGCACGAACTCAAGCTCAACAACTGTGGCATGGGCATTGGTGGAGGCAAGGTGGGTGTCCCCTGCCACTTTCCCGTCCATCTGCAGGACGTGCCCTTGGCTGCCTCCTGGCTGGGAGGGCGGTTCTGTTGTTTTTCTCTTCAAATGAAAGGCCTCGAAGACTGCAGCCTGTGGCCAGTGGAGTCTGGGAGGGTGGGGTTGCCAAGCAACCCTCTCCCGTTCTGGTGTTGCCTTGGCAACGCAGAGGCAGTATCGTGTTTGTGCTCTGACCTGCCTGCTCTGCAAAACGCAGGCTGGGGCATCCTGAGACCTGCTGCACCCTCAGAACCGCTGGCTGAGCCACGTGAACGCTGGTAGGGAGCCCTGGGAAGGGACCCCTCGGGCAGGCCGGTGAGCTCACTGCTCGCCTTTGTTCCTAGGCCCAGACCTGGCCTGGGCCGCCTCCCCCCGTCCTGCCAGCAGGTCAGGCAGCTCAGTGCAGGAGAACTGCTCCCCAGAACCCACCCCGGGGAGGCCGCTGTTTGCTCTCTCCAGCTGACTCCTGGAGCCCAGCCTCTGGAAATACGGAGTCCCCCTCTGCATCCTGACCCCCACCCCTCGCCTTCTGAGCACACGTCAGAGAAGGGCTGGACATGGGGTTCACAGCGATGGGGGGCGTCGTCTTGTGTCTTACATGGGTCGCCCTAACACCCATCCCCGCTGGAAGGGGTGCTGCTGTCCCTTATTCCTAGAGAGCTGGACTAGGGCTCAGGGTCGGGGACGTCAGTCGCGCTTCCATGGTACTGACCTGTGGGCGGCAGCTCATAGTTGGCGCTCCTGTCAGTTCTGAGGTGGAAGCCAGGAGGTGGGGGTGCTGAGGGTGCTCACCACCTAGTAGGCGCCCCACAAATGTTGGTTCTCTGCTTCCCGCACCTGCTGTGACCTCTTTGCCATGGTCTCTGGTGTCCATCTGCCGAGTTTGAACTCTTGTGCCGTTGGCATCACTGGGGTGGAAACTCCCTCGTGGCACTCCAGGGACAGGACAAGTGGGGTGTTAGGTTTTTCACCCCCAGCCGCTGACGCCCATTATGTGTGCAGCTGGGCCGGGTGCGCCTTGATGCTGTGGCCTCCCCGCCGGCTCCGGGTGCCGTGATGGAGCGCGGCGAGCAGCTGGGAGCTTGAGTTCGGGCCCAGCGACTGCTGCTTGCTTGGCCACCAGGGAAAAGCTACTCTTTCTCTCTGAACCTGGGTTTCTTCAACTGGAAAATGGGGGTGATGGTGGTCCCCACCTGACAGAGCATTTGTGACAGTAAGGGAGCTGACTAGGAAGCTCCTTCCCCAGAACTGCACCTAAAGTCACTCTCCTGTCCCTCTGGCCTCAGTCTCCACATCCCTAACGTGAGGCTGAACCCCACAGGCCGGCGGGGCAGAGTAAGCAGTAGGTGTTGGTCCCTTTGTAAAGGGTGAGGTGCTGGGCACGTGAGCTGTGACATTGTGGTTTGTGAGGTCTTTGTCCCTTTGCCCACCACCAGTAGGTGGCATGGCTGTGGAAGAGCAGGGCCTGCCTTTCCCCCCACAGATCCTGGCCGCCGCTCTGACTGAATGTCACCGGAAGTCCAGCGCCCAAGGCAAGCCACTGGCCCTGAAGGTCTTTGTGGCTGGCAGAAACCGTCTGGAGAATGATGGAGCCACTGCCTTGGCGGAAGCTTTTGGGGTGAGTGGTTTCTGCCTCTGCTGGCCGCCACACGATGAGATGAGGGCTGAGCCTAGAAGGCCAGGAGGCCTGCATGTGCACCAGCTCCGGAGCTCGTCATGCGGGAGGAGCCCCAGCTCAGGGAACCGGGGCACTGCCTGAGAGATGGGGGGCATGCCCGAGCAGGGAGAGGTGTCCGCTGGAGCAGTGGGTTCCAACCACAGCTGATGACCCCAGCCTGGGCCTGGGTTCTAGCGGGTGGGGCACAGAGCCGGAGCCGGCTGGTCCCTGGACTCCTGTATCTCATGGGGAACCTCATACCATGAGTTGGGATCAGGGGCTGCCATGCCCAAAGTGTGCTTTGGGATCCCCGCCCAAGGCATTAGTGGACAAGCCCCGCCAGGTCAGGCGTGAAGTGCTGCTGCTCTTCCTGCTTGGTGGCCCTGGTGCCCGGGGCCCATGGCTCTGTTCTCCCCTGGCCCCGCAGATCATCGGGACGCTGGAGGAGGTCCACATGCCCCAGAACGGGATCAACCATCCCGGCGTCACTGCCCTGGCACAGGCGTTCGCCATCAACCCCCTGCTGCGGGTTGTCAACCTGAACGACAACACCTTCACAGAGAAGGGTGCCGTGGCCATGGCCAAGGTGAGGAGGGTGCAGGGAGCCAGGATGGAGCCGCGAGCGTGTCCCCAGCCAGCCTGTCCTTGGGCAGCTCTGCCACGTTCAGCCCGACTGCCTCCCTCAGCCCAGCTGTCGGGGCTGAGTTTCCTCTCGGGGTGTTTTCCTTGCTGACCACTCCATCAACCTCGCTGAGCCTGTCTCAGCGCCCAGCCCAGTGCCAAGTGCAGGCCCCACAGGGTGGAGCCAGAGGCTGTGCCTTAAAGGAGCCCTAGTTCCTGGAGGGAAGGGGTAGCTGTTTGGTGGCAGTACAGGTGCCTGAAAGCCCTGGTGGGCTGGGTGTTGGGGGCTCACAGGAAGTCCACGCCAGACTTAGTGACATTTTGTCACTTTGTACGGGAGAGGGGCGCTCGCCTCTGGACAAAGGGTGGAGGGTATTTCAGTCCGAAGGGGTCACCTGGGAAGACACACAGAGGGAGGGTGCCTGGCTCGATCACGCCTGGATTTGAGGTATGTTGAGGGAAGGAGGAGGTGACGAGAGGAGATAAGATCCCGTGGCTTTGCAAGCTCCTGGAGGCTCTCCCTTGAGGAATGGAGCTGGGGAGGGTTCTTCAGCGGGAATGGTGGTCAGATGTTGCTTCAGGAGAAGGATTCTGACTGAAACCTGGCCTGAGGGAGGGTGGCGGCCAGGGGCCACAGGAGGTGAGAGGAGCCAAGGGGTGCTGAAAAGGTGGTGTGAAGACTGACTCTGCGCCCGGTGCTGGCTCCAGGGGCCCCGGGGTGAGGCTGCAGGCCCTTTCTTCCGCACAGACCCTGAAGATTCTGCGGCAGGTAGAGGTGATCAACTTCGGGGACTGCCTGGTGCGCTCCAAGGGTGCCGTGGCCATCGCAGAAGCCGTCCGCGGGGGCCTGCCCAAGCTGAAGGTGCCAGGCCTCCCCAGCCGGGGTTACTGCTTGGGGGGAGGTTGGCCTGGGTTCATGATTTTCCGTCTTTGCCCTGGTTTGTGCGAGGCTATCTGCCTCTCGGCCCCAGTGTCTTCCTTCTTCCACGGGGAGGAGGCTGTGCTGTCTGGAGCTCGAGTGCAGCGTGGAGTGCAGCGTGGTCCTGCTGACCGCCAGGCACCTGCATGGCAGATGGCGTTTTTATTTTTATTTATTTATTTTTAGATTTAATTTTTATTTGTGCATACAAGAGCTGGGGTACAGGCCACAGATGGGGGGGGTGAGAGGATTCACCAGAGACAGAGTGGGGAACAGAACAAGCAGACTGACTGAAATCCACTGCTGAGGGGAGCAGCAGGCGAGTCAGGAGAGGTCTAATGTGCCATGTGGGTTGCTCCCCGGCTGGCCAGGGATCGAACTCATGCTGCAGAGGCTGCAGATTGCTTCATAGTGCAGTGCTTAACCCCTTGCGCCACCAGGGAGGCCCTTGATGGCGTTTTTATTTATGGAGGCCCGAGCCAGCCTCACCCTCACTTGGGGAAACAGGCTTCAGGGTGGGACTTGGTCTCCCTGCCCACATTTCACCTGCCTCTGCTCCGTCTGTCTATTTGTAGGAGCTGAATCTGTCATTCTGTGAAATCAAGAAAGACGCTGCCCTGGCTGTGGCCGAAGCCGTGGCCGACAAGGCCGAGTTGGAGAAGCTGGACCTCAACGGTGAGGGTGGGCAGTGTCGCCACAGCCCTGCCGACTGGCCCTGGTGCATGTCCTGACTCCCTCCCTCCCCCACGAGCAGGCAACACCCTGGGGGAGGAAGGCTGTGAGCAGCTGCAGGAGGTGCTGGAAGGCTTCAACATGGCCGAGGTGCTGGCATCCCTCAGGTAGGGAGTTGGGGTGGGGTACTGAAGCCGGGTTGGGCCTTGCCGGCGCCAACTTCTGTTCATGCATTTGAGCCTCTGCTGAGAGGCAGGTGCTATGCAAGTTTCGAAATAGGGGAGCAAGAAAGTTGAGGTTTCTGACTCACGGCGAGACTTCGTTCTAGTGGGCGAGGCGTCAGGCCGAGACGGGCTCTTTGAGGCCTGCTGTCAGCATCAGGACACTAGGTGAGGGTGGACCCCTGCAGGGCGGGGGGTTGGGCACCCACTGAAGGGCTCCCAGCAGACACGGGGGACCTGCTGCTGACAGTGGGCTCAGGGCAGCGACGGGGCAGACTGGGGTTGTTTTTAAAATGAGAGAATGATTCTGGGAGGAGGAGACGGTTGCGAGAGCCTGGGGACCCCAGGGGTGCGGGGCCCATGGGGAGGTGGGGTCAGGCGGCGGGGCTCATCCCTCCGTCTGGATGGGACTTGGGACCGGCATCGACCCTGCCCCCCTCGGCCCTCTGCGCTCACTCACCTGTCAGCCCTGGGCTGCCGCTGCTGGGGGCCGGCTCGTGGTCCAGGGGGGTGGAAAGGCCTCCCGGGGCAGGATCCTCCCGTGTCCGCGGCAGACGCCCTGGTGATGGGGAGTGCGTGGCAGATCCCCACGACCACGGCCCCCACCCATGGCTGCTCCCGGCGTGACTGGGGCCTGGGCCGGGGCGGGCCTGCCTCAGCCGACTCTCTCCGCAGTGATGACGAGGGGGAGGACGACGAGGAGGAGGAGGAGGAGGAGGAGGAGGAGGAGGGGGAGGAAGAGGAGGACGAGGACGAGGAGGACGAGGAGGACGAGGACGAGGAGGAGGAGCCACGGCAGCAAGGGCAGGGGGGTGCGTCGGGCGCACCGGCCAGGAAGATCCTGGACCCTAACAGCGGGGTGAGTCCCTGGCGCTTCCCGGCCTCGAGCGCCGGCGCCCTGGCCGCGATCCCGGGGCGTCTGCACGGGGTGGTGGGCGCGGGGCCTGCAGAGGGCGGCCGCCCCAGCGCCGCTGTGTGTGCCGGCGTCCGCCCAGCCGGCTGGCGGTGGGCAAGCGTCATGTCCGCGCCCTGCTCGTCGCCTGCAGCGTGCTTCTGAAGGAGCAAGTAGGAAAAAAGGCAGAGTTGGAATTTTTGCCGACCGTGGGCGGCGGGTGGCCGTGGCGGCCTGCAGGGACAGCCCCTTCCGGACACGGGCCGAGGCAAGCTCTGGACAGCTGCCCAGGAGCCTGGCAGCGCTCCCGCGGGGTCTCTGTCGTGCGCCGTGCTCGGCGGGGCTGCACGCTGTGCTGCTGCCGCATTTCTGGGGGCCGCGTGCTAGCGAGCACCCACTTAGCTGGCCAGGCTCTTTGAGTCCTAGGGAGGTGCCTCCCAGGAGCAGCCAGGCGCCAGCATCTGGAGCCCCGCCCTTGGAAGACGCCCCCTCAGCCTGACTGTTGAGAGAGGGGCCCGTGTTCTGGCGAGGGTCTGGGTCTGGGCCCCTCCAGAGCCGCCCTTCATCACCCCTCGGCAGGAACCGGCTCCAGTGCTGTCTCCCCCGCCTCCCGTGGATGTGGCCACCTTCCTGGCCTTCCCCTCCCCGGAGAAGCTGCTGCGCCTCGGGCCCAAGAGCGCGGTGCTGATCGCCCAGCAGGTAGAGAGCTCCCCGCGGGCAGGACCGGGCTGGGCCGGTGCCGTTGTGGGAGTGGGGGGCCTGCAGTGTGGGGTTCCGGAGACATTCACGGGTGTGATGGGCGCCAGGCGCCCTCCGGCCTGTGCAGATGCCTGTGCCCGCTGCCAGCACCCCCTGGCTGGCGAGGGTGCAGCGTTCTCCCACGTGCATGCCCCCAGGCGTCCCTCTGCACGTTCGGAGGACACACTGGAGGACGCTCCTGGAGCCGCTGTCGGCCGGGACCTGTGGAGTTGGCCAGGCGGCTGCCCTTGCTCCGGCCTCTTGAGTGGCGGTTCCTCCTTCACGTCCTCATTCATGCTGAGGGTGGTCGAGGCCCCTGCTGCGCCTGCTGTTCCCCTGGGCCGGAGCCGTTGGCTCCTGTGACCCACGGGGACACGGAGGCCCACAGAGCTCCTGTGCCAAGCGCCCGCCCTCGACCGGGACGCTCTAGCTGCTTTCCCTCCCCGGGCGCCATCCCTCACCTCGCTGCATCAGTGAAGCCGCCCAGCCCAGCCCTGTGTCCGAGCCGGTCTCTGGGCGTCCGCCTCATCCCACCTCTCTCCTGACCAGTGCGGTGGCGGCAGCTCCCCGGCCTCTGAGCGTGGTCCGCCCCTGAGGAGAGGGGTCGCTGTGTCACGGGGGTGCTTGTGGGCGACCGCACTCCTCTGTGCGCGTGCTGTGGGCCGGGCTTGGGCGACGGTGTGGGGTGAGGTGGGGCCTGCCCCCGCCCACCAGAGGCCATGCCCTGCCAGGGCCTCTGTGGCTGCAGCAGCGCCCAGGCCCCTGCTGACGGGCCATTGTCTCCTGTGTCCTCAGACCGACACGTCGGACCCGGAAAAGGTGGTCTCGGCCTTCCTGAAGGTGTCCTGTGCATATAAGGACGAGGCCTCCGTGCGGACAGCAGTGCAGGATGCCGTAGGTAACGTGGACTTGCTGGGTCTGGGTGGCCACTGCTCTGGGCCGCAGCTACAGGGATGGTGACGGGGAGTCCTGCCCCAGGTGTCGGGTCCAAGCTGCTCCTGACCCGCCTGCACGGGGCAGCCTGGGGTCTCCTCTGCTCTGCGCACTGGGGAACTTGCCCACATGCATGCGGCTGGCACAGCTAGAACTCGGGGGGCCACAGCACCGGGTCCATCCTGCAGCTGATAGGCACAGGGTCCCCTGGACCTGGCAGTGCCCTGCATTCTCTCCATCATTCATGAGGCTTTGGGAATCTCTGTCCTGCCCGTCATGCCCCTCTAGCCACCCTGTTCTCTTCACAGGAACCTGTGAAGGTTCCTGCTACTTGTTGGCATGTGTCTGAGCTGCCCAGCGTGGCCCTGAGGGGAGTGAGGGCCCTGAGGGTTGGGTAGAGCCCCTGGCAAGGGTAGGAAGGAGGAGAGGCATGTGATGCCTTCTCCAGGATCGGCTCCCGCGTGGCGATGGGGCCGGGGGAAGACTCCAGGTCTGCCCCTGAGACCCCAATCCCACGGGCCTTTGTGGCAACAAGTTACCTAAAATCTGTTTGAGCGCAGCTTGGCACAGAAGCGAGGCCCACTGGCTCCTTCCCCAGTTACCCCCTCACCTGGATGGGAACGCTAAAGCCCCCCGGGGCTCATCTGCCTCGCTCACTCTCCTCCCCTCCCCGGTGTGAGAGCCCCGGGCGGCCAGGGCAGGAAGGGTCATTGTCACGGTGGGGGTCCAGCCCCCCAGTCGCCCGGCACTGTGTCCACGTCCGACCTGACAGGGAGACAGCGCCTGGCCTTTGTGCAGGGCCGCGTGCCCTTTGGCCTGTGAGCCATTGGCCGTGACACCCCCATTACTGCTCCTGCTTTGCAGACGCTCTGATGAAGAAGGCCTTCAGCTCGTCCTCCTTCAACTCCAACGCCTTCCTCACCAGACTCCTGGTCCACATGGGTCTGCTCAAGGTGTGCTGGGAGGGGTGGCTGCTCCCCACCCCGGGGCCTTCACTTGACCTTGACCCTGGGGCTGCATGGTAGAGCTCAAGGGCCCTCCAGGTGACCCAGATCTCACCTCGCTTTCTGCCTGTGCTCGCCTTGCAGAGTGAAGACAAGATCAAGGCCATCGCCAACCTCTACGGCCCCCTGATGGCCCTGAACCACATGGTGCAGCAGGACTACTTCCCCAAGGCCCTGGCCCCCCTGCTGCTGGCCTTCGTGACCAAGTGAGTGTGGCACCTCCACGGGCCTCGCCCCTCCGGCTCCCCCCAACCCGTTCCCTGCCTCTCCGCCCATGCCCAGCTGAGGGCACAGGACTCGGCACTGTCTTTCCTGAGAGGGAGAGGAAAGGCCCCTGTTTTCTGGACGAGGAGACCAGCACTGACAGGGTCAGTTAAGGTCGGGCCTTGGTCATGCTGCTGGTCAAGGCCCTTACCTCTTAGGGAGCAATTCCGTGTGATTCCCACAGCAACCTAGACCAACAGGACCTGGTCACGCTGGCCAGCCACAGGCCCTCTCTGGGGACACCAAGTGCCCAGAGACATGGAGACCTTGGCCTCCCCTTGGGGGCCCTGGGATGAAGAGCCTCCAGAGCCAGCAACCAGAGAGATATCAGGGGCCTGTCCCGCCCTCACTGCACCCTGTGTGGCCCCCAGCTGCCCCCAGTCAGACATAGATCCAGCGAAGCCAGCCCCTGGGGCCAGTGGGGCAGGCAGAGGAGGCTCCCTGCCCAGGGGACAAGTGCCAGGGCCTCTGCCATCCGTTTGGGCACCTGGAGTTGCTGTGGAAGTGAGGGATGCCCCTCCCCCCGCCCCCAGCAGCTAGCTGGGGCCACGTGCCTTTGCCTCCTTAGTCAGGCCTCCGCTCGCCCATGTCTGCCCACCTCCCTGCCACCACCATGCTGTAGCTGGGCTGGCCTAGAGAGCCAGGCCGAGTGTTCTCCAGTCAGGGTCACACAGCTGCCGCCTTACCTCCCCCACACCTGGGCAGGTGCCGTTGCCTCTACCCTGCGCTGTGTGGAGTGGCCCAGGGGTGGCCAGAGCCCCTGCCCGCCACTCCAACAGCTTCTCCTCCCGGTCGGTCGGTCCTCCTGCCCCCTTGGATGCCTCCCACGGACAGCCGCTGGCGTCTCCACCCTCAGGCAGAGCCCCTGCCCCTCCCCCTGCTGGACTGGCCCCACCCACAGACTCTTCCCCCACAGGCCCAACGGCGCCCTGGAGTCCTGCTCCTTCGCCCGCCACAACCTGCTGCAGACGCTGCACAAGGTCTAGGTGCCCGCGGCCGCTCCCCGCTCTGGGCCTGGACTTGGGGAGAGACTTGGGTGAAGGACTCTGGCGGGGCAGGGAGGAGCTTTGTCGAGTGGCCGCCCCCGTCTGGGTCAGAGTGGGGGTGCAGGTGTGTGCTTGCTGCTGGGTTTGGGTGTTTCCTGTCTCCCTGCGGGCTCGGGCTGGGAGGGGAGTGCGCGGCAGGCGCAGGGCTCCCAGCTGCTGTGCCATTAAACTCCCCCTCTGAGGGCGCTGCTGGTGTGCCTCGGGCTCGGACCCCGGGGGCTGCCCCGCCCCACCTTGCCTTCCGCACCCGCGGCTGCACCCACGCCGGGGAGTCGCTGTGTGCGCTGTTCCTCCCCGTGCTGTGGCCAGGCCGTTTCCGGCCCTGCCGGGGCCTCGCTTCCTGCCCCCGCCGTCCCCAACCTCTCCCTGCTGAGCCCCTCTTGGCCCAAGGCAGAGACAAACACCGGGTGGCGCGTGGGTGGTCAGCCAGGGCCAGGACCCCAGCGCCCACGCCGTGTGGACGGGGAGAGAAGCTAGCGGACGGAGAGCAGAGGGCCTTGGGGCAGGAGCTGCCTGGGCCGCGTTGGATCTGGGCCCAGCGGGCCCTCCCGTGGCTCCTGAGGCGTCAGACTGGCCTCTCTCCGGTGGGGCAGGGCAGGCCCACCAGAGCCTGTGCTGCATCTCGGACTCGCTGACCGCGCCTGGGGCAGGGCGGTGGGGCTGGCCTGGGCCAGATGCCCTGCGACCTCCCTTCGCAGCCCCAGGCCCTCGCTCCCCCTGTGTTCTGTGTGTCTGGGCTGTGCCCAGGGCTTCACAAATAAAGTGTGGACACTGCGAAACCTGCCACCGAGTGGGCTCCTCAGTCTGCAAGGGGCCGTCTCTGGCAGAAGAGCCCCTGTGCCAACCTCCTCTCATGCCCTGGCACGCCTCCCACCAGCTCCCTCCAGCAGTGCAGTCCGTGGAGGGCGGGCACGGGCAGCTACTCGGGGGTTGAGGAGGGTGACGGGATCTCCCCTTCTGGGCGCTGGAGGCTGTGAGTCGACCTGTTTGTCCCGCCAGACCCTGCCTCGCCTTTGGTCCCCTCAGGCTGCAGCTGCTAGTGGCCACGTTGCTGCATCTGAGTACCTGCTGGGCTGACAGGCTTGGCCGCAGCCCCCACTGACGAGGCCCCTTGTGGGCCTTCGGGGCGTCCTCCGCAGGGCGTCGTGGCTGGGAGAGCAGGGCCTCGCTCTGCACGTGTGGGTGAGGAGCGCCCAGCAGACCCACCTCGCTGTCCACCTTGGACAGCAGGCACTCTGGGGAGCCTGTTTCCCAGGGGAGTGCAGAGGTCTCCCCAAGCTTTCTTGGGGGCACTGTTCCCTCTGGCTGCAGGACCCCTCAGGCAACCTTTTTCTTGGCCAGGTGGCCCTCCTCCCCGAGAAGGTGATACTACAGGAGGCAGGTGGTGGGTCTCATCGACCAGCTCATCCCCCACCCCCGATGAGGCTCTGTTCTGAGCTCTGAGGGTACAGTGGCTGCCTTTGGGGAGTTGCCAGTTGGGGTCAGGAGATCACCCCTCAGGGCCCAGCACAGTGACGTGGGGGCCAAGAGGCACAAGTTTCAATGAGGACTTGTCACAGGTGATACCTGACAGACGGAGAAACTGAGGCTTGGGCCTGCCCAAGCTTCTCTGGCCTGGTGGTTCCTTCCCTGCAGTCACCCGAGGAGGGCCCTCATTGCCTCCTAGGAAGTGTGCCAGCTTCTGTTTGGAGCGGGAGACAACCACTGATCTCGCTGAAGCTTGAGAGGCCAGCAGGCCTTGCTCCTGGGACTGTGCCCTGAGGATGCTCCCTTGGGCTCAGGGAGCACAGCCCTGCCCCTGCCTGGCCCGGCTAGTCCTGCGAACTAGCTCAGAGGACAGGGCTCCCGGCCAGCTCCAGGGGCAGCCCCACGCTGAGGGCTACAGCCTTTGGGACTGCCCCACCCGCCCCGCCGCCCTGACACCCCAGGCAGCCCAGAACGGTCCAGGCCCGAGGTCACAGACTCCAGGCCCTGAGCACTGGCTGGGCTCTCAGAGATCATAGCTGCCTCGGCCTGGACAACCGGGACCCCCGCATCGGGAAGACGCTACAGACGCGACCCACCGGAGCGCCACCTGGGCTCAGGGCTGAGCCAGAAATTCCACGTGAGCTCAGACTGGAGACCCCGGGGGCTGGCGACGGCCCTCCCGGCCCGGCATTCTGATGGGGAACCCAGAGGCCCGCGGGCCGAGGCCGGGGAGGAATCAAATGCCACGTGGCGCAACGTTGGGCCGTGGAAACGCCAGCCCCAGCTCTGCTGCGCCGGGGCTGCCTTAGAGACGCCGAGGGAGGCCTCCGCGCTGTTTCCTGGACACGCTTCCAGCCCCTGGCGTGGGCGTTGGTGGGGAAGGCAGGGCACGAGGCTGGGGAGCTCAGCTACGCCACCCCAGGGCACCCCATCTCAGCAGTGATCAAGTCCACCCCTAAGAGCCACATTTTAAAATAAAATTTCCTGGGACTTCCCTGGTGGCCTAGCGGCTGCGCCTCCGCACTCTCACCCCCGCGGCCTCCGGGATCCCGGCCAGGGAGCGGCCCGCACGGCGCAGACCTGTCCTGCCTCCCCACTGCTCCCCTCGGCGCGGGTTTCAGGAGATGCGCCTGTTCTGCTCCCTGGACTGGCGGACCCCCTCGCCCGCGGCACCTCTGGCCTGTACCCCGGCTTTGGTGTGATTCAATAAATCTTAAAAAAAAAGACGAACTTTGGGTCGCGCGCACTCATCTGAGCATGCGCAGCTGGGCAGTCTAAACAACGTGTGCTAATTACGAGGAGGCTTCTGCGCACCTACTGTGTGCCAGGGCCCACCTTGCCCTCCAGAGCAGCAGCACTAGCTCCTAGCATGGTTTTTGAGCAGGAACCTGAGGCTCAGCGAGGGGCAGCCAGGAGGGGGCTCAGGTCTGGGACCCACAAGCCAGTCGTCCCGGCCCCTCCCCGCCTGGCAGCCCAGAGCCCCGGCTGTCGGCCGTCGGGGCGGGCAGGAGGCCCTGTAACTCCAGCCGCCGCCGCCCCCCTTCGCCTCCGCCCCCGGCTGGGCTGCCCACAATGCTCCCCATTCAGCGCTGCCGCCGCTGCCCACCCGGGTGTGGGGCGGGCCGCCCGCGGTGCCCCAGCAGGGGCCGGGCTGGACTCGCCCGAGAGTGCTGCGGGCCGGGCTGGCGGGGTGCGCGGCATGGAGCGGTGAGTCTCTGGGCCCCGCGGGGGCCGGGGGGCCTGGGGGACGCTGAGTGGCCGCAGACAGGCCCCTGCGCCTCTCTGGGCCTCGGGCTCTCGAGCGTGTCCGGGGGCTCCCGGGAAGGCAGCGCGTCTCGGCTGCTCCCGGGGGCTGGTCTCGAGGCTCGCCCCGGACCCCTGGGCCCTCTGAGGCGGGACGCGCGTCCCCAGGAGGACCTGCCTGCCCCTTGCTCGGCCTCGGGGAGCCCACCGGCGCCGAGGGCCCAAAGGAGACCACCGAACAGATGGCGGGACCCACAGCGGAGAGGGGGGCGCCCGGCCGCGGGGGTGGTCGCCAGGGAGGGCGGGGCGGGGTGGGCTGGGGTGGGGCAGGCTCTGCCCTGGCATGGCCAGCAGGGCCCCGGGGGTGCGGGCAGCCTCAGGCCGAGAGGTCGGAGGGTTGTCGGTGGGGGGTCGGGGCCGTCCCTGCTTTGGAAGGGTCCCCTCCGGGGCTGTGGTCGGAGGCGAAGGCGGCGATCGGGGCGGGGCGGGAGGGGTGGACGGAGGACGGCGGGACGGCCAGAGACGCGGGGTGAGCGCAGGCCCACGGGAGGTGCGCGGGTCCCGCCGGAAGCTCGGCACAGACCGCCCTGGGCACCCCCACCCGGCGCAGGCCGCGGGGCCCAGGCGGGGACAAGGGCGGTGCCGGGCGGCCCTGACCAGCCAGCAAGGTCCTCGGGGCTCCCGGCCGCAGTTTGTGGGCTCTCGGGGCGCGCCTGGCCCTCCGCCCCCCGCTGCCAGGCGGTGCTCTCAGGCCCGGCCACTTGGCTGCCTGCCCCGGGACCCCGCTCTCTCCCTGCTGCCTGCACCGGGGATGGCTCCCCCAGACCCGGGAGCCCCCCCAGCAGGGGCGACGGACCAAATCCAGCCATCCGCGCGGCCTCGGCGGGCAGCCGGTGAGAGGGACTCCCGGGGAGCCTCCGGGAGTCGGGGGCCCGAGGTGCAGGGCCACGGCACTTTCCCCGGGGCCTGGGGGGTCTTCCGGGAGCTGCGCCGAGCGGGCGCGGGCCCCTGTGACGCCCGGACCCCCCTCCCAGGCCCCGGAGCCCCGCCCCTGTCTGGGTGCTGCTGTCTCTGCTCCTGCCGCCGGGGCCCGCCCAGCGCTGCCCACCGGCCTGTCTCTGTGACAACCCCCGGGGGCACGTCGCCTGCCGGCACCAGAACCTCACGGAGGCGCCCGAGGCCATCCCCGAGGTCAGCAGGGCGGGGGGAGCCCCGGGCGAGTCACTGCTCCTCTCCGGGGCTCAGCCCGCACAGCCACAGGATGGGAATAATCCCCAGCGGCGGGGGTGGGCTGCGCCGGACCCCGCGTTCCCCGCATGGAGGGCGGAGGGCGACCCGGCGTGAGCCCCGGTGTCTGCCAGGCGCGCCAGCAGCGCGGGGAAAGGAGACCGTCCCCGGGCAGGGACGATTCCCCGGACGGTGCCAGAGGCGGGGGTGCCCGGGGGGTTGGGCAGAAGGGCTCCCCGGAGGAGGTGGCAGGCAGCAGGACAACGAGCCTGAGGGGAGGAGGGGGAGAAGGTGCTCCCGGGGCCCCGCGCCTCTCAACGCCCCCTCCCCTGGCAGCTGACCCGGCGCCTGGACCTCCAGGGCAACGCGCTGACGGCGATTCCTCCAGCCGCCTTCCGAGACCTGCCTCACCTGACACGCCTGGACCTGCGGCACTGCCGGGTGGAGCGGGTGGCCGAGGGCGCCTTCCGGGGCCTGGGCCGCCTGCTCCTGCTCAACCTGGCCTCCAACCCCCTGCGCGCGCTGCCCCAGGAGGCGCTGGACGGGCTGGGCTCGCTGCGGCGGCTGGAGCTGGAAGGCAACATGCTGGAGGAGCTGCGGCCGGGGGCCTTCGGGGCGCTGGGGGCGCTGCTCACGCTGAACCTGGCCCACAACGCCCTGGTCTACCTGCCCGCCATGGCCTTCCAGGGGCTGGCGCGCACCCGCTGGCTGCAGCTGTCCCACAACGCGCTCAGCGTGCTGGCCCCGGAGGCCCTGGCCGGGCTGCCCGCCCTGCGCCGCCTCAGCCTCCACCACAACGAGCTGCAGGCCCTGCCGGGCTCGGCCTTGTCCCAAGCCCGGGGCCTGGTCCGCCTGGAGCTGGGCCACAACCCGCTGACCTACGCGGGCGAGGAGGACGAGCTGGCGCTGCCCGAGCTGCGGGAGCTGACGCTGGACCACGGAGCGCTGCAGGCCCTGGGCCCCCGGGCCTTCGCCCGCTGCCCGCGCCTGCACACCCTCGACCTCCGAGGCAACCAGCTGGCCACCCTGCCGCCGCTGCAGGGCCCAGGGCAGCTGAGGGGCCTGTGGCTGCAGGGGAACCCCCTGTGGTGTGGCTGCGGGGCCCGCCCGCTGCTCCAGTGGCTGGTGCGGGCCCGAGTGCGCTCGGGCGGCATATGCCGGGGGCCAAGGCGCCTGCAAGGCGAGGCCTTGGACACCCTGAGGCCCTCGGACCTGCGCTGCCCAGGAGACGGGGCCGAGGATGGGGAGGAGGAGGAGGAGCTGGCCACCGCCCGGCCCCGTGGCCCTCCCGGCGCCCCCCAGGACGAGGAGGGGGTGGCCCGGCCATGCCCGCGCGCCTGCGTGTGCGCCTCGGCCACCCGCCACAGCAGCTGTGAGAGCCGCCGGCTGCAGGCCGTGCCCCGCGGCTTCCCCGACGACACACTGCTCCTCGACCTGAGGCAGAACCACTTCCCCGCGCTGCCCCGCGCCGCCTTCCCAGGCCTGGGCGGGCTGGTGTCGCTGCACCTGCAGCGCTGCGGCATCCGGGAGCTGCAGGCCGGGGCCCTGGCGGGGCTGAGTGGCCTGCTCTACCTCTACCTCTCGGACAACCAGCTCTCGGGCCTCAGCGCCGCCGCCCTGGAAGGGGCCCCCCGCCTGGGCTACCTGTACCTGGAGCGCAACCACTTTGCCCGGGTGCCGGGGGCCGCCCTGCACGCCCTGCCCAGCCTCTTCTCCCTGCACCTGCAGGACAACGCCGTGGGCCGCCTGGCCGCTGGGGACCTGGAGGGGGCGCGGGCCCTGCGCTGGCTCTACCTGAGCGGGAACCGCATCGTCCACGTGTCCCCTGGGGCGCTAGGCCCAGTGCGGGAGCTGGAGAAGCTGCACCTTGATGGGAACCAGCTGCGAGAGGTGCCCACCGGGGCCTTGGAGGGGCTGCCCGCCCTCCTGGAGCTGCAGCTTGCAGGCAACCCGTTACGGGCCCTGCCAGACGGGGCCTTCCGGCCCGTGGGCCGCTCGCTGCAGCGCCTCTTCCTGAACGGCAGCGGCCTGGAGCAGGTGGGCGCAGGGGTGTGGGGCTGGGGCAGCACAAGGCCCCACAGCTTGTGTCCAGCAGCGCCCACGGCCTGCTCTGCAGCGCCAGGCCTGGGGCTGGGTGCGGGGACCCCGAGATGAACCAGACCCCACAGCTGTCAGGCCTGTCGGGGTTGGCGGGGGCAGGATCCATGGGGTTACCCACCAAGGGCAGATCTGCACCCCAAGAGCTTTGCCACTCTGGGCTGGGGGTCCAGGTGTAGCAAGAGAAACATGAACCGGGTGTTGGGTGACTTGCAGGCGGCGAGGGTTCTGGTGTCCCCAGGCTGGGTTTCCGTGCGGGCACTACCCTTCCTGCCACACCGTCAGGGCTCTCCACTCCCCTTCGCTGGGGGGCACGGGGCCCTCCCAGGCCCGGGGGTGGGCCCCATAGGAGCTCACACTAGGGCCTGCACCTCCCCGCAGATTTCCCCCGCGGCCTTCTCGGGGCTGGGGCCCAGGCTGCAGAGCCTACACCTGCAGAAGAACCAGCTGCAGGCCCTGCCCGCCCTGCCCGGCCTCAGGCAGCTGGAGCTCATTGACCTCAGCGGCAACCCCTTCCGCTGTGACTGCCAGCTACTCCCGCTGCACAGGTGGGCACGCCCGCCCTGCCCGGCCCCGCTGCCTCCTGGGGCCCCTTGTGCGCACCGGGAGGGGGGTCCTGCCAGAGCCGGCGCCCCTTCCTGGGGAACCCAACGTGCATGGGGTTGGGGGGCTGATGAATGTGTGTGGGCACCTTCATCCGGTCTGAGAAAGCAACAAGAACCCCCAGAGGCCCAGTGGGCTCAGGTCAGCCGCCACGACGGTCTAGCTTGGGCCACGCGACCTGGCCGTGCTCTTTCCTCACCTGTTTGGTTACGTCAAACCAGCGGGGAGGTTGACTCGCAGGGTCTGGCCGGCGGAGGCTCTCTCCCTGCTCCCCTTGCAGAGACTTGCTGGGGCGCCGTGACTGGTGAAGGGTCCAAGGCTGCCCCCAGGCTCCCTGGCACCTCCTCCCTCTCAGGGAAGCTCAGCAGCTTCTTGGAATCTTCTTCCTCCTCAGGTGGCTCTCTGGGATGAACCTGCAGGTGGGGGCCACCTGTGCCTCCCCACCCAGCGCCCGGGGCCAGAGGGTGAAGGCCGCGGCTGCTGTCTTTGAAGCCTGCCCAGGCTGGGCTGCCAGGAAGGCCAAGCGGACGCCAGCCCACAGGCCGGGTGCCAGGAGAACCCCCGTGAAGGGAAGAAGGCAGGGAGCAGACAAGGTTGGCCACCGGGCAGGTGGGGGAGGCCTTGCTGGGTGGGGCAGGTTCCAAGGCCCCCGGGCTGGCAGGGGTGGGGCTTCTGGGTTCTGGAGCTAGGCCATGACCCTGCTGGTTCCGACCGATAAAGCCCATCCTCGCCGCCCCGCCTTGGGCTGGGCCCAGGCCTCTCGTCCTGCGGGGCAGTGGCCTGAGTCTGCCTGGACCTGGGTGTGTCCATAAATCTGTCCTGCTGGCCCCTGACTTGATGCTGCTGACCACTTCCCAGCTGGCCTGGGGCCGCCCACTCCGGAGGGGAGGGGAGGGCAGGAGTGAGGAGCATTTCTGGCGCCGCCCACTGCCTGTCAGCCGTGGGGGGGGGCCACTCAGGGCACCCCAGCAACACCCCTGAGAAGAGTGAGCGAGATCTGGGCGCCCCTCCCCGTGGAGGGGACGGAACAAGTGGGCACTGGGAAGCTGGGGGGAGGGCTCTGCTGCCCCTGGCCCCCCATTGGCAAGACTTGGGAGCCTGGGTGTGTGCGGGCAGGCACAGGGCGGGGGGTAAAGCAGCGTCCTGGAGGCCACAGGGGCTTTTTCAGGCTTTAATGCTCTCTCTATGCCAATGGTGGGGCGGGCGCGCCGGCTGGCAAGGCAGGCCTCCCAGCCCGGCCGCGCCTCTCTCCGGGCTCTCCTGGCTGCTCTCCCCGCCACGCCGCCGCAGCCGTTTCTCCCGTCCAAGCGCCGCCGCCCTGCTCGCCTCCGCTTCCGGGCTCAGGTGTGCACCTACGCACGCCCGCCACACTCGGGTGCGCCCCGGGCGTGTGTGCCCGCGCCCACGCTCCCAAGCTCCTCGGCGTTCAAGGCCACAGGAGACAGCCGCGGAGCGCGGCGGCGTGAAGCCTGGGCGTCGTGGTCTCCCGACGCTGGGGCCGTCCGTGTTCGCACCAGCCCGAGCTAGAGCCGCCACGAGGGGCTACAGCCCGGCCAGTGGCTGAAGCAGGAGCCCTGGAGGCAGCGGTCAAGAGCCCGCGTGGGCGGCCGCACACTCCAGGCCTCTGGGGAGGGCCCTTCCGGCCTCTGGTCTCTTCACATCTTCCCGGCACGGCTGTCCATGTCCACATCGGTTTCATCAGGATTCATCATTTTTTTAAAGATTTATTTACACAAGCACTGGGTACAGTCAGAAGCGCGGGAGGGTGAGAGAATTCACCAGAGCCAGAGCGGGGAGCAGAGCAGGCAGAAGGACCGAAGTACACTGCTGAGGGGAGCAGCGGGCGGCAGGAGAGGTCTGCGCGCCATGTGGGACCCTCGCTTGGCAGCCGGGGATCGAACCGGCGCTGTAGAGACTGTGGGCAGCTTTGGAGCTCAGCGCTCAACAGCTGCGCCACCAGGGGAGGCCCAGAATTCATCATTTGTTTTTAGAAGAACTGGGGTGTAGGCCAGAGGTGTGGGGGGCCAGAGAGAGTGGGAGCAGAACAGGTGGATCTACTGAGATACACTGCTGAGGGGAGCAGCGGGTGCGTCAGGAGAGGTCTGCTGCGCCGTGTGGGCAGCTCCCTGGCTGAATTGGTCTCGGGCCATCATGGTAATAGTGCTGAGACTTAATCCCTAGGCCACCAAGGAGGCCCCCAAATTCGAGTCATTTGAATTGGGACCCCCCCGATGACTTTCGTTGACTTGGTTGCCTCCGTGATGACCTGATTTCTAAACACGGCCTTGTTCTGAGGTACATCTTTTTGAGAGGGATACATTTCAAGCCCTAACAGCGTTGCTCGTGGAGAGGCTGTGAGGACGAAACTGCCAAAAAGACCCCAAGCTGAAGGTGACCGGCGGTTCTGACAGGTCCGACCCGGAGCCGGCACTGACAAGAGCAGTGTTTTCCCTCAGCTCATGGGCCTGTGTGGTGCTCTCTCCCACTTCAGCCCTGGGCTCCCTGTGGGCCTTGAGCTGGGTGCAGGGGCTGGGGCGCGGGAGCCCCACCTTTTCTGCTCAGTGGCTGTGCAGGAATCAGGGTACTCCAGACCATTTCCGCCAGCCACTCTCCCTATCAGAGAGACCCCCCAAAGGTGTTCATCTTTGTGGGAGGCGGTGCTTCCAGGTACACAAAGAAATGGCCAGGAACAGGCTCCGCTCTTGAGGGTCACATGAGGCCTTGAGCCCCGGCAGGGTGGTCTGGGCCGGGGGAGCCTACCTTGCAGGAAGGCACAGGGTGGGGGCCCCCACCTTTAACTGGGCGTCCGGCAGGTGGAAGACGCTAACAAAGCAAACGAGCGTGTGCTGGCCGCAAAATGGCAGCCCAGCCGGGCCTAATTGTTGCTGTCATTAAGTAGCCAAGTTACTACGCCACAAACCTTGCTTCTGCTCATCTGACAAATGAAATCCACGTGCACCCCGCAGGGTTACTGTGAAGAAACAGACCGTGGAAACAAGCTTAACTTGTCCTGGCGTGGGGGCCTTGCTTCCTGATCCTCAGGCAGCGCCAGGGCCTGGACTAGGCGGCAGCATCGGTGTGGGCTGCAGGCGCCTTCCCGAAGTGTGATCTGGCCTAGTCTAGACCGGCGGCAGCAGCAGGTGGTCAGGCAGGGCCTACAGGCTGGGCCCCGCAGGCCCACGTTTCAACCACTCCCACCACAGCCCACCCCACTGACTCCCAGTCACCAGTGCCCTCCAGGGGTACAAGGCTCTTTCTACGCTGGGAGTAAAAATGTCCTGGCAGTGACGTGCTCTCACGTCACATACCCTAGTGGGGCCAACCTGTGTGTGAGCCATGAGGGACAGAAAAGACAGGCTCAGCCTTGGGGGCACCCAGGGATGGGGAAAGGAGGGCGCAAACGAGACACAGATGTGGCGGCCTTGAGACAGCTCGTGGCGTCTTTATTCCGTAGCCCTCACGCGGGCACTCACCCACCTCCACTCAGGTCCTCAGGACACGCTCTCTACGGAACAGCACCTGACAGGCTGGACTTCAGCAAGTCAGAGTTCAACGGTCTCACGCCAGGTGTGGGGAGGCCAGTCCAGGGCTGGAAGGGCGGCTCCTTGTCCTGCAGCTCTGCCGCCGGGATGGGGGCGTTAGTGCCGGGGCCTCAGGCCTCACTTCTCTAGTCAGGCAGGCAGAACCACGGACCGTGGCACGTCCAAGCCGTTTTCCCAGGAGCTCTTCTCCCAGAACCGGATCCCAGTGAAGGGGTTCTGGAAGGTGGTGGCCCAGGCCAGGCAGCAGTTCCGTGAGCAGGCAGAAGGGCACCCAGGCACCTTCCTCTCCTGGAGGGTGAAGCCTCTGTCCTGTCACTGTGAATCCAGGGTGTGCGATGGGGGGAGGGAGGGGGGCGGGGAAGGGCCAAGGCCCTGCATCCTGAGGAATGCCCCGTCCTTGGCCTTCACATTGGTCCAAACTCAAGTCACTTTTTCAGTTTGTGGGGAATTCAGGCTGCACCAACACTGCTTTCTGGGCCTGGTTTGGCATGGGTGGCGCTGCCTCGTGCCTTAGCATGGGGTGAAGCTCTCCCTGAAGTGGGTGGAGATCAGCTCCCTTCAGGCTATCACCCCTTCCCTGGAATGACACCAGACAGCCTTGGTCCTGAGCAAACCCATATGCAAGTACTGGCCCCAGCAGTGCCACCTCTACCCACAGAGCAGGAAGGAGTGAGGCTGGCAGCCCGTCTCCTCTCAGGGCTCCGGAAGAGGGTATGGAAGAGCTAGGACTGAACAGTCTCAAAGCAGCTGACAGAAAGCAAACTCCAGAATGTACTTTCAAAGCGGAGCAGAATCAAAATACATTAAGGGCTGGAGAGTGAGGAACAGGAAGCCCGGTACCCCTCTTCACACTCCTCCGGAGGCGCAGGTGGGGAAGGTGCCGCCTCAGCCAGCGGGGCTGACCAGCACAAGGTCCCCGTGTTGAGGCCCACGACCCTGTCAGGCCCTACCTGACTGCTTAGCAGAAGGGACGAGAACAGGTCCCAGCCCAGCTGGCTCCAGAGCAGGCCGCGTCCCCGCTCAGGTGGGCCGAGCCCACCTCCACTCTTGCTGCCCCAGCCTCCTCCTTCCCCCAACTCTCCCCAAGTGGCACAGGGGCTGGTGTGGTCTTTTCCTATCAAGGCCCCTACAAGCCTCCCTACTGGGAAGCAGACCCCACTCATGCCCCGTTGCTCCTAGGAAGTGGAGTCTGTACTCCAGGCAACAGGAAAAACGGGTCACCAAACCCACATCCTGCTCATGGCTTCCTGGATGCCTACCTGAGCTGGGTACCTGCGGGTGGTTCCCCAGCACCCCCCACCGCCAGGGCACAAGGGGATGCAGAGCAGCAGCCTAGGAGGTGAGAGGCCACTGCACTTGCTCAGTTTTCAGGCTGAGCCTGCACCCTCACACACTGGCTGTCCTGAGGGTCTCCCCTCAGAGGGCTGCTCCAGGCCTTTATTCAGGACTTGCCTGGGTGCATGGACACACACGGCACCAACTGTCTGGTCTTCCAGCGTGACTGGGGGCAGCCCCCACCCTCTGGCAGAGGAAGGATGTGGTGGTGTGGAGGGAAACTTCTGTGAGGAGCAGCTTTGGGAGCTCTTGCTGGAGAGGGCAAGACTCACAGAAGAGAGTTTGGGGGCCTCAGGTGCCCCAGGCATGAGGCTTCACCAAACAGGGCAGAGGCAACAGCGTGGGCGAAAGCAGACCCCAGCTGCTCCTCAGCGCCTGGCCCTCACAGCACCAGGCAGGTTTATACAAAACAGCTCAGTGTCCAAAGTAATGGGGGTTGGAGGGGTGGTGGCAAGAGAGGAGCCCTGGGCTGGCTTCCGGGGGCGGCCATGCTGGGAAAGCTCAGTTGTCTGTCTCCTGTTTGATGCTCTCAAGGGGGACAGGCAGCTCTGGACTCGGGGCCTTGGCGGGTGTGGTTATGTCGAGATGCTCTTCCTTCACGCGCACGGCGATGACTGGAGGGGAGGGCAGGGGGCTCAGGATCTGGGGAAGGGACACGGCTTCCTACAGATGGGGGCCCTCAGGATGTGGTGGGCAGCAGCAGAGGGGTCCCGGGGCACACTTGGGCAGGAGGAGCCAGAGGCGTGGCTGCACGGGCCCGGCTCCTTGCAGAGCTGGGGGCTCGGGATGATCTCTGGGTCCACGGGCCGAGGGCTGCTTGGGACACGGAAAATTCCTTTCCACCTTGACTCTACTCTTCTGTGCCCAGGCGGGGAAGGAAAGGGGCCGCCTCTGAGCACCGGACCCTGCCCCCACCCTGCCCCCGAGGCTTACTGTCTTCAGGCTCTGAGGAGATCTTCTCTGCGGCCTGCGGGTTGTCCTCCAGCAGGGCCTTCTTGGCGCCTTGACGGAGGGGACGCGACTTGGTCGGCGGAATTCTTTTCCCTTTGAATAAAAGCGGAAATCAACCCAGCATTTGACTATATCCACGGGGGGCTGCAGTCCGGGTCCCATCCAGAGGTCGGGCAGAGGGGACAGGGCCAACTTGGGGGACAGAGGACCGAACTCGAGCTTCACCCCTCAGGGCTGCGGGTCTTGAGGCTCAGTGAGGTTCCCTCCACTAGGGGTCACCACTGTCCTCTCACGCTAAGCTTCCCTTCTCCAAGCTGTACTTTCTTTAGCATCAAAGGGGGACCTTCCCAGTCCTATTGTTTTGAATTACACTGGGACCCCCTCTTGATCAACTACGTATCCTGCAGCATCCAGCCCTGAGGCCCTGTCCCGATCCTTCCTAGCCCTGCTGCAGGACGTCTGTGCCTGGCCCGGGGCCGTGGCTCTGGGGACAGCTCCCCCCCCCCTACAGCCGCGGTCCTGAGAACGGGGCCCAAACTGGGCTCAGGCTCTTTCGACAGTGGAAAACGACACCCACACTGGGGGGCTGCCCTGCCCAGTCCCCAGCAGCCCAGAGGAGGAGGACCGCCTCGGGAGCAGCGTCCACGCCCTCTCCTTCCCAGCACTGCAGCTGCGCGGCGCTGAGGCGGCCAGGTGATGCTGACCAGGGGGCAGCAGAGATGGGCCCCCCCCCCAATACAACCTCGTCTCCTCGCCTCGGCATCCTCACTGTTGCCAGGACTACAGATGCCATTTATGCTCTGGGCCCCTAGGACAATGGTGGTGGGCACACGGGGTCAGAGGACAGGCCAGGGAGACGGGCAAGCCATGGGGAGCGCTGAGTGGGGAGGCCCAGCCTGCTCACGTCAGAGCACCACTTACTTTTCTTCCCAAACTGTTTCTTTTTCTTCTTTGTGGCCTCTTTGGCCTTCAGAGGTGTGGCTGGCTCTGCTGTTGAAACAAAGACAAAGAGATGAAAAGGGTCCTGAGAGGACAAGTGGGCAGGGACGTCGGAGCGCCCTGCCCACCCCTCAGCAGCCTCCCCTTAGCACGGGACGCCCCAGGAAGGAAGCCGCAGTTGGGCTGTGAGAATGGGGGCGGTGGGGCGGGACTGGAGAACAGCGGTCCCTTCTTCCCACCCTTGCCACCAGGGCTGCTCGGAGGGCCTGGTTTACCTGGGCGCACAAGGGCACGCGCATATGACAGAGTGGCAAGGTCAAGGAAGGAGCTCTGCAGGCCAGAGAGGGAGACAGAGCAGTCAGGCGGGGGAGGGGCAGACGGCCAGGAGACTTCTCCGGCTCGTGCCAAAGAACGAGGGGGGCCAGGGAGCGTGGGCAGGAAAGAGAAAAGGAAAGTCAACAGCCCCTCGGGACCCCGAGAGCCCAGACCTGTGGCCACGGGTGGCTGGAGCTGGTAGCCAGTGAGCTCGCACCAGCCGACGGGGTAGATGTCCGGGGACTCGCAGTCCACCCACTGGTCGTACTCGCTGTCCCAACCGTCAAAGTGGATGCTGAGCAGCCGGTGCACCACCCGCTTCACCGTGGCCACACAGATGAGGCGCGGCTCCATCAGGTCCACAGCCTCCAGCTTCATGCCCACCTTGAAGCCATGGTTGGGGCAGTCCTAGGGTGGAGAGGACAGTGGCGAAGCAGCCAGCGCCCTGCTGCAGCGGGGCACAGTTGGGGTGCGAGGGTGGCTGATGACCCCACAGCACTTGGACCCGGTGCCCGAGCCCCTCTGGAGAGGCTGGCCGAGCCGAGGGTGGGCAGAGTGCCTCTGCCAATGCCAGGGGTTCCTCTCCCGAAGGGCTGAGTGCAGTCACCCTCACAGAAAGAGAGGGTTGGAGAGGCCACCCCACGGTCCCGAGCCCGCCTCAGGCCCCCGGCTCCCTCCGTGGTCTTCTCACCATGTTAAAGAGTCTTGACGGAGCCGCTTTCGACTTGGTCTTCTCCAAATAGGCCTCCCAGTTGAATGTGTGCATCTCGTACCCTGTGGGAGCAGAGTGGGTGTGGGGAAGGGGTGGTGGGGGTCAGGAAGGAGCACACAGCCAAAGGGGCAGGTGCAGTGTGGCCCTGCGCAGCCTGCCGTGCCCCCCGCAGCCCTTCCCTCCTCCCCAGCTGCCCCAGGACATAACCCTGCTGCAGAAGTTGCTGCCTGCCCCAAGGACAAGTGGGAGCTCTGCTCACCACACTACTCAGCAGCTGTGGGGCCTGGCCAGTGGGGCCCTGGGTCCTGCCACCTCTGCAGTGCCCCCTGAGGCTCCAAGCTCAGGGGTCTGGCTGGGCTTGCAGCCTCATCCTGCCCCTCCCAACTGCAAAGCCAAGTCTTACCTTTTGGGGGTGTGAGTTCAATGTCATTCTTCTGGCAGAAGGTGGCTGGGAAGATGGCGTGGGAAGAGGCATGATAGCAGAACCAGTCTGAGCCGTCTGTGGAGGGCCCCCCGTCTACACAGATCATCAGATAGCCGTCCAGGAGAACCTAGCCAGCGTCGGGTGGGCCAGGGAAGATTGCGGAAAGTCTCAGAATCTCCCAGGTGGCGCAGGAGGACGCATCTAACCGTCCTCTTCTGGGACAGGCTTGTGAGCTGATTTATCTTCACCAGACAGCAGACGCGTGCCAGCAGGGACGGCGCCTGTTGCCCGTGTCCTCAGGGGTGAGCACCCAAAGATGTGCTGGGTAAACAAGATGGCATACCCCCAGGAGGGCAGAGGCCTGCGGCCTGTAGCAGTCAGCCCGGCTGTGGCTCAGCCAGGCCAGCGCTCAAATAAGGCGGTGGAAAGGCCCCGGTGAAGGACCCGGGGGGCCGACACCTGACACAGAACAGGCTCCGGCGAGGTGCTCAGGAAACACCCGACCAGGGTGGCTCATCCTGACGTGATGAGTCTGAGTGAGGAGCAGAGCAGCGCAGTGCTAAGCTCAGGTGCTCCAGGAGCCACCAGTGTGTGGAGGGAAGGGCGTGGCAGGCCAAGCTCTCCACTATCTGTCCCCTCAAAAAGCCAGACTAGGGGCTGGAAGACAGTCCCAGGCTCACCTTGCAGATGGTCGCCACACAGATGTTGCCCAAATTCAGGGGGTCAATGGCCTCCAGCTTCATCCCCTCTTCAAACCAACCACCTTCTGTGTAGACGGCTCGTACCTTAAAGGAATGGAGCAGCTGAGGAATCTCTGGGCTCACTCAGGTGAAGGGGGAGCAGGCCTCATCTGCTTGGGAAGCAAATGAAGGACAGGGCATCCAGGCAAGGAGCCAGGCCCCTGACAAGAATGGCTGACGACCAAGGTGAACAGTGCCCAAGGGCCGTGCCTCACCTTCTTGAACAGGTAAGGAACAGCATCACAGTAGATTTTCCGGAAGGTGGGATGGTGGGCCATGTCGCTGCGCCTCTCTTGTGGGGAGGTGGTAGAGCGGGGGAAAAGAAGGGAGTTGAAGGCGGCTGAGGGGGTCACCACGTCTCCCTCAGAAATGTGGGGGCTGCCCTGCATATGATCTCATCTGCATCTCAGCACCCCCACCCCACCTAGAAGACAAAACATCGGGCTCCAAGACCCAGACTCGCCCACAGGATTTTCCCATTTAGGTATGAGCTGAGTGACCTGGGTGAAGTCACACAAGCTTTCTGGGCCTCAGATAGGCCACCCGCAGGTGGCGATGGTCATCGCTGCCATACACACCTCGTTGCAGCATGGAGAGAAGGACCCTTCTCGAGGCAGAAGAGCCATGGACACCCTGGCCTGGGGCTCCACTAACCTGACAGCTTGATGCCGTGGCCGACACGACGTGACCAACCCACTGGGTGAATGAGGGGGCTCCACATGTGACACCAGAAATCATCGTCACTGTCCCCATCCTCGTAGAGGAGCCGCAGGCGACCCCCAATCACCGTGTCCACCACGGCCATGCGAGTCCGTGACACCTGGGACTTATCCACCACCTCCAGCCGCATGCCCTGCCGGAAGGGGTACTTCATGCTCTCCACCATCTGCAACGGCACAGAACACAGGCTGCTGTGTTCGCAAGGACCCCCACTCGGCTCCCTGCGCTGTCTCTTGAAAGCAACTAGGGTATAGGGAGGGTGGGGTGGAGTCACCCTGGACACTAAGGCAGCCAGTGGGCAGCTGTGCCTCCCATGCTGCCAGGCCCAACCCTGGCCCCAGCTCCCTGGGACAAGGCTGAGAAGGAACACAGCTTCTAACACAAGCATAAGGGTGCCAGCAGCAGTGCCAGGAACCACACGACCCATCTCTGGTTAAGGAAATGTGCCCACCAGGTCACCGGCTTGCCCAGGGACACAGACTCATTAGTGCCAGACGGGCCTTAAACCTGGTCCCAGGTTCAGCCTTGTGTTCTTTCAGGGCCCTGCACTGACCCCACAGGCACCCCACACTCCCTTCCCTGCTCCAGCCCCTGCTGATGGCACACGCAGCCTTTCTAGAAGAGCCCCCTTCCATTCAGCTCAGAGTTCCCAGCTGTGGCAAAGGATGGCTCTCACAGCACCTCAGCACTAAAGTCTTTCCCTGCGGCCTAACCAGAACAGTGACTGAGCTGCCCACAAGCCCCACCAGATGGGGGAGGGGAGATTATTCTGCTGTGACTTCATGGTGTCCTGCCTGGTGCAAGGGGATGGGGAGGTGAGCTCTGTGGGGCAGCGGCAGGGCACAGCTGGCTCAGGGACTGTCGGCGGGGGTTAGGCACCGTGGGAACTGGGCCATGCTGCAAACCCCACCAGCAGGGGGAGCTTCTCAGAGGTCACAAAGCAGCTACCAGGAACAGCTGATGGTCCCACCTGCTGATCCTTTAGCCCTCACCTCAAAGGACCCCCATGGAGATTGCCTGACCCACTTAGGAGGGCAAAGCCTGGGTTGGGGCCCCCCTAGGCCCCCGCCCTCCACCAAGCCTTTGCTGACACACACCTTTCCTCTGTGCCTGTCCAGTGCAGCCCACAGCCCAACACCACATCATCGCCCTTGTCTGTGTACGGGGCACTCGGGAACTTGACTTCTGGAAGGGCAGAAGTCAAGTTCACTGCTCACTTACTTAGAGCCTCAGCTCTAAGTACAGAACAAGGCACAGAGTTAGTGCTCAGTTCATGCTTTTTTCCTTAACTCAGCAAACACATGGGAAAGAGCAGCTGCATTTGACCCTGGCTGATGGGTCACTCATTCAAAGGCAAAGCTTACCATCTCGCTGGAGGACAAGGAAACACAATTAATGACCTACCTAGAGAGCAACGACCAATGAGTAGCAGCCTGGAACTCTGAATGAGGGAAAAATCACTTCTCCGTTAGGGGGGGAACCCAGAAAAGGCTGCCCCAAGGGGCTTGCACCCACTCTTAGCTCTCTCCCAGTTAAGGCCCTCAGTGTGCACAACCTTCTCACCTGGTTGGCATGCAGGGTCTTGGGAGAGAGCCCCGACGGCCACCCCATTCTTATTTTTTTTATTTATTTTTTTGGTTTTTTTTGTTTTTTTTTTTTAGATTTATTTATTTATACAAGCACTGTGTACAGTCAGAAGCGCGGGAGGGTGAGAGAATTCACCAGAGCCAGAGGGGAGAGCAGAGAAGGCAGACTGATGAAGTACACTGCTGAGGGGAGCAGCGGGCAGCAGGAGAGGTCTGCGCGCCATGTGGGACCCTCACCCGGCGACCGGGGATCGAACTGGCGCTGCTGAGGCTGCGGGCAGCTTCACAACCCAGCGCTTAACCGCTGCGCCACCGGGGAGGCCCCCATTCTTATTTTCTATGCCACCCAGTCCCTATCCATCGAATGGGTATCTGAATGGAAGTCAAATGCCAGTTTCTTGGTGAAGCCTTCCCTACCCTGGTCCTCCTGAGGCCACAGACCACTTCAATCGTGGGTCATGGCCGCCCCTGCCCTGTTCCCCCTTCCTGGCCCCACTGCTGTGGCTCACTCAGGAGGGGGAGTCTGCACATGAGGGGGAGAGTAAATCCTCCTGTACACCCTTTGAAACCTTTTGGATTTTACCATGGGCAACTCTCTCTCTTCCTATATATACACACACACACACACACACACACACACACACACTAATTAAAATTAAATGCCACACAAATGATTCTGAGGCACATCTCTGGTTCAGAACTAGGCTATTTTACATCTATTCCAGTGCCTGACTTCATTTCTTTTGCCAGAATGGAAAGGCCTAGATGACAGGGCCTGGCCTCTGTGTTCCCACCATGCCTTGTACACAAGTGTTTAGTAACATCATCTGAATGAATGTGCTATCAGCAAAGGGAAGGGGCTGAAAGAGCAAATCGAAGACAAAACAGGACCGACATGGAACTGCAAGACTAGCAAGCACAGGGAGTACTAGGAGAAATGTTCCAATGAGTTGCAGGAAGGAGAGATAAAACGGGAGGTGCAGGAAGGAGACCTGTTAGGACACCTAAAGGGTTCACTGCCAGACCTTGATATGGAAATCCACAGGCAGCGTTCTGGAGCCCACCAAGCGTTTCATGAGGTAACCCTTCCAGTCCGTGAACTTGGCATGGATGGCTGTGGAGACACCAGCAGACCCTGGTTAGAGACTGACACTCCCACCAACAGGCTGCCTAGCGGTAAGTGGAAGGGCCTGAGTAACTTACTTCTGCCCATCAGGCCAGCCATCACCCACCTTAGAAAACCACGCTCCAGGATCCAACTTGGATCTGCCAGGGGGCTCTGGGGCAGGGGAGGACAGGAAGCAGGAGACAAGTGGGTTCTGTTCTGGCCTAAACTAAGACGGGCCACCCCCTTCTACCACGGGCCCTAAAGCAATCAGGGCAGGGGCCATTATCAACTCACTCCGAGGGGGCACCAGGATTTTGCTGTTGACGGCGCACCAGCCAATGGGGTGAACATCCACTGTTCCCAGGTTGCACCAGAAATCATGACTGGCGTCATTTTCAAAACCTTCATACCGGAGCAGCACCCGATACCCTGGAGGGAGGGAAAGGGCGCCAGCGAGGGGCGGGGAGGAACGGGAGAGCGTATTTGTAGCCTTTCCTCTCCTCTTGTCTAAACTGCACTTCCTGTTGCCTATTCCAAGGAGTTCTTCCAGGCGAGGAGGGCCCCTGCCATCCACAACCGTCACGGCCCAAGCAAACTGGCGCTACCCATGTGGAAAGCAGGATGGCATGTGGTAAGAATTAATTTCTATGGCCTGATCATCCCTGGAAGAAACTTAAACATCAGAGTTTCAAAACTCACCAGGCTCTATGGTCCCCTCTAAGGTAGGCAAGGTAGGCGCATCACCAGAAAGGAGGCAGAAAGTCCAGTGGGTGGACTTTTTTATTTTATGAGGCCAATTTCCATCTACAGCATTGCCCACCCGTTGAGAGGTGTCCTTCTGCAGGCCCTGAGCTGCCTGGGCCTGGGGCCGCTCACCTGCTGCCTGGATGACGGAGGCGATCCAGTACACGCGGCTGGGGAGCACAGCGTCACTGTTGAGCACCTCCACCTTCATCCCCTTCATCACGTCCTCCCACTGGTCATAGAGCGGCACCTGTGTGGGGAAGAGGAATGTAAGGGGGGGCGCTGAGGTGCCTGGGTTGGCAGGGAAGAGGAGCTGGCCTCCTGGGTCACGGCGTCCTTCTCTACACCTCAACTCTTCACATCGCTCACTGGGCGCAGGAAGTCAGGCATGGAGAGGAGCAAGACCTGTCCCATGTGGCTGAAGAGCGGGGCCATGGGCGGGCACATCACTCCTGCACCGGCCTGTGTCACGGGAATGACACCTAACACTTTCTAGGCTACCATATGCCAGGCACAGTTTCTGGCACACATACCACCTCCATAAGCCAGTGGGGTACCCCATTCCAACTCTCTGGCCACAACGATGGAGTATAGCACAGCGCCTAGCAGTGGCTTAGCTGCCTGTGCACAGGGACAGGCTCTGACAGAGCGCATGAAAGCCTGCGTCCAATCAGCATGATGTACTCCCTGCAGTGAAAATGAGGGACTGCGAGAAGTCACGGCAAAAGAGGTCCCCCCACTAAGAAATCTGTGTGGCTTCGCCAGCAATTGGAGGAGTAAGAAAGTGCCAAGTTTTCATGGTTTAGGGCCCTCCCCAGAATTCAGCAGCTGTTCAGTGAGGTTAGGCGTGGACTTATCCTGGTTAGACTGAGACTTCTCTGGATCTTCTGGGGCTTAAGGACCTGGAAGACAAAGCTGGGCCGCTGGGGCCGCAGGCTGCCCTGGGCTACAGGTCCCGCCCTGAGCGATTCCACTCGGCCCCGCCCTCCGGCCCCGCCCTCTGGCCCCTTCTCATTGACTGGGGAGCCAGGAGCCTTTTGCAGAAGGGGGCTCCAGGAGTTACCCACGTCTGCCTCCCCGGAAACCACAGGGCAGTTCGGCTTTCAGTGGGAAAAAACACAAGTGGGAAGGGGACCAAAGGGCTTCAGAGCCGGCTCTTTAACATCAACTAGCACAAAGCTCCACCCCGGGAAAAAGCAACGCAGGGGCCGCAGAAGTGGGCGTGTTCGCAGGGGGCTTCTCTTTTAGGTGGACGGAAAGAGACTGGGCAGTGGTAAAGGCAGGCCGGGGCCGCAGGCGGCACCCCGGCTGTCTGTCCCGCGCCCGCCTCCAGAGGTGGGTGGGAAGGGCCGTGCGCAGTCGGCTCTCGCTCGGCTCTCGCTCGCTCAGCTCCGGGGCACTCACGTGTTTGAAACAGCTGACAGGCGCAGCCTTGTAACTGTGGTCCTTCAGGAACTTCCCCCAGTCGAAACCCAAGACCAGCGCTGCGGGGCGGGAAGGGGCGAGCTCAGGCCGGGAACCAGCGGCGGCCAGGAACCTGGAGCCGGGGGACCGGTCCTTCCCCACCCCACCGGTGTTCTCAGCCCCATGTCCACGTGGAGGCCACCTCTCCCCAGCAGCCCCATACCTGCCCCACCAGTGGCCATCGGGGCGGGAGACCTTATCTAAAGCCGGCCAGATTCCCAGGAGTAGAGGAAACATTCAGACAGACGTGCCTGACCTTTCTTCCCGAAAAGAAAAGAAGGAAATTCAAAGACCCTTGAGCTAAAATTCCTCAGACCTCCCCCAACTTCTCATTGGTCCAAGGCGATCTGGTGGGCGGGAGGCGCACGCACCTAGGCCCTTGACCCGCTAGCAATGGAGCTCAGTGTGGGCTGACTCAGACCACGTCGAGCAATAGCTGCGTGCCGACATTTAATTGGCTATGAAACTGTGCACATACTCAGAAAATGACAGAGGTTTCCTCACCCGCCATACCTCTCTCCACTGCCCCAGGGAAGAGATGCCTTAGGGCTATAAGCCTTGAAAAACAAAAGAAGCAAGTTCTTGGCTTTTCCATTATCAAGAGTAGGGCTTCTGGCTACTTCAGTCCCCAGACTGAAGACATTTCTGGGGGTGATTTCGACAATACCCTCCAGGTGAGGAAGATGCAGTCCGCTTAGCCTGGCCACCTTTTCCACGCCTCCGTCCTAGGGAGGCCACCCCAGCCCAGACCCCCCACCCCCCACCAGCCCTCTGCTGTCTCACCGTCCTGCCCGGTTGGCGTCCCATCTGCTAGCTGCCCTGTCCCCTGGGAGTGGAGAAAGGCTCCGATTTTGGCAGACCAGGCCGCCTTGTGCAGGACTTTGGCTTTCTTGGTTGGTGGCTTGCCCTGGAAGGAAAGAGAGGACGAGTGGACCCAAAGGCCGCCTGTGAGGCTCCCAATTTGAAGCGCTTGAATTTAAATCTTGGTGTGGATGCAATTAACCTCTCTGGGGCTTGTTTCACTTGCAAATCAAGATGATAATAACAATGCTAAGCTGGGGGAGGATGCAGGGAGGAGAGAGACTCTAGTGCCCCGCCCTCCGCCCTCCAACTCCCAGCGCTCAGCTTTGGTTCCACTGGGGCGGAATGGGGTCAGCGGAGCTGCAGGTTAGGAGGGATACCTGTTCTGTTTTTTGTTTGTTTTTTAAGATTGATTTATTTATGCATACAGGAACTGGGGTACAGGCCAGAGGTGTGTGTGGGGTGAGAGGATTCACTAGAGACAGAGCAGGGAACAGAATAGGCAGATGTACTGAAATACACTGCTGAGGCGAGCAGCGGGCGAGACAGGAGAGGTCTGCCCCACAGGGGATCAAACTTGTGCTGCAGTGGCTGCGGACAGCCTCATAGCTCAGAATGAACCCCTTGTGCCACCAGGGGGTTAAGTTGTTTTAAGCCTCTTCCAAAAATGTCTCCCCGATGGCTTCAATTTTCAGCCACCTCTCTCTGCCCGGCTCCTACAGATATATGGCAGAGAAAGGGTCTCCGGACCCTGAGTCAGGTGCAACATTTTGTAATACATGCATGTTCTGGGAAGAGGGTCCATGGCTTACATCTGGTGCTCACAGGAGTCCCCACTCCCCCAATGATCTGATCTTAAGCATTAATGAAAAAGACCTAGATCAGAAATGTGTATTTAAATCCCAGACGGACTTGGGGTCCAATCCCAGTTCTTTGATCTTTATTTGTGTACCTTTAAGTTGCTAAAATTTTTTAATTCTTTAAGTAGAATTTTTAAAAATCCATGTTTTAGGGCTCACTGGGTTAGACTGAGACTCAGTCCTTAGCACCTACCCTCAAGCTGCAATTGTAACAATAATGTTAGGTGCCTAGGAGAGGGATTCTTTTGTGCCTTAACTAAAATCCACAAAATGAGGGAAACAACAGTCATTGTCTCACAAAGCCAAGAGATAGTGTAGGAAGCATTGAACTGACCCTGACACCCTCAACTTCAGTGACCACCACAGCCCTGGTTCTCAAGCTTTACAATCACCTGAGAAGCTCTTGAAAGCTACTCTTGTCCAGGCCACAAGGCATTTTTGGGAGCTGGATCCAAACATCATAGTTTTAAAACTTTCCAGCTGAGCCCAGCAAGCGTCAAGTTGAGAAGCGGTGGTGGTGGTATAGAAGGCGGCCATGGCTACCACGAAGTGACACGAGGCCAGGCACCTGCGATTAGGGTCCAGCCTTGGCTCTGCTGCTCTCCTCGAGCCCCTTTCTCAGGTGAGACACTGCCCACACTCTGGACCACTCTCTCAGCACACTTGTCATTAAGTGCCTGGTTTAAACAACACATTCTAAGAACCCTTCCATTTCTAAAAAGTCTATGCATGCTAAGAATTAAGTAACAATTGGTAAGACTTTCTATGCAGCTGCCTATGACACCGAGTCAGGGATGCGGCACCAACTTCCTAAGCCCAGTGGGCTGGTGAACCACAATTGTGCCCATTCCCAGCTTCTTCTCAGAGCATTTATAGTAGGGTGGTGTGATGACTGGGGGCATGAGACACCCCTGAATTTCTTGTTTAGCCCCTGGTGGCAAGGGTTAAAGTCTCAGCACTATCAAGCTATCCGCAGCCACTGCAGCACGAGTTCGATCTCAGCCAGGGAGCTGACCCACATGACACAGCAGACCTCTCCTGTCTCCCCACTGCTCCTCTCAGCAGTGTATTTCAGTAGGTCGCCTGTTCTGCTCCTCACTCTGTCTCTGGTGAATCCTCTCACCCTCCACACTTCTGGCCTGTACCCAGCTCTTATATGCATAAATAAATAAAATCTTTAAAAAAACCTTACTGAACATAATAGACTCTAGGGGTGAGAGGTGGAATGGAGGGGAGTTTCAAGAATCTGCAATTTAAGGAGCTCTGTCCTCTACGTTTGAGAGCATAGTAAAATACCAGGAAATTCGTGACCTCTGCAGCCCACAAGCAAGGTTCTTCCCAAGCCCTCGTGGCCCTTGCCATCAGGCAACAGATTGTTGTGTCTCAGTCCCGAGCCCAGGAAGGCTCTCCCAAATGGCTGCTTCTCACCTGTAACCTGGCCAGGATACTGGCTTTCTTGGAGTTGGAGGAGTAGCTCCTGGAACAGGAGACGCTGCAGAACCTCTTGGTCTTGGAGAAGAAGGCCTCCCTGGTACCCACGATACCACACATCTCACAGACAGCTGGGAAGAGAACTTCACTTAGCATATGACTCACCTGCTACGGTCACACACACACACACCCCTGAAATCAAACAAACAATGGACCCTTCAAAATCTGGGGCATGGCATTAACCAAGTGATCCCCCACTAAGGACAGAACTAGAACAGGCAGAGGGAGTTCTGGTGTGTACCTCTGAATCTGCTTCACCCAAGATAAGAGACTTGGCATCCCCATGGCTCTCTGTGTCAACAGTGGGGCTAAGGAAAACCCATGAGGACTGGGGAAACAGGAAAGGCTGGAAACTTTGCAAAGAAAGAAAAGAAGTGGCCAAGTCATTAACTTCCATGGCTCTCTCAGCTCATCTCGAAAGAGACCACACTAAGTCAGTGTTTCCATCTTGACTTTATGTTAGAATCACTTGGGGAGCTTTTAAAAATGCCCAAGTCTAAGACTCTAATTGGCTGGTCTGTGGTGGGACACTGGTATGTGCAGTTTGTTAAAAAACTCTGTTCCAGTGAGTCGAATGTGCAGCCAGGCTAGAGAATGCCTGGAGTAGGTGCCAAGGACCAGGAGTGTTCAGAGACAGTACACTGCATAGGCAATCCCCTTGCTGGAGGTCTTGACGCTGGTCTAGCAGCTGTCCAAGCGTCACTTCTCTGAACCCATCTGGCTTCCAAGTGATCAATGGATTCTAATCTGCCCACCCCCACCCTAATCCTTTAGCTAGAAATCACTTTATTCCATATTTCCTCCCCCTCACTTCAGCCCACTAGCTATTTCTTGTCTTTTCCTGGAGAGCAACACTTCAGTGTCCTATATCTCAGCATCCAGGCTTAAAAGCCCATCAGAATTCATACAAAGGAGCACCATGTCAGTGAGTGGCATCTAACATGTGCTGAGGAAGCAGCTGTATGAAAGGAGCAATTAAATCACAATTTGAAGTCAGACTGACAAAGGAAATGATGCCTGGGGTTACCTGGGGTGATTGTCTCTCCCACAGGTCTTTAGATATCAAATAGCCCTTAATACCTGCATAGCTCTACCCACATGGCCTATATCCCCCACTTCCTCCATAGCCTCCCAAACCCTCCTCATCTTCAGGGGACACTTTGAAGGCACCTGGCTCAGAACCACTGCCGTCCAAGGAGCGGGGAGTTCCAGGATTGAGCAAATGCAGTGGGGAAGTGGGTAACTCCCCTGCTTCCCGATCCTCATTTTCTGCTTCACTTGATTCCTCAAGATAGGAGCTGCTCTCACTGCCCGCACTGCTGTTATAGCTCCGGAAACTGTCGTAGCCTCCAAAGAGCTCCAATTCATCCTCTTCCTCTTCCTCCTCCATTGGTTCTGAAGATGGAGTCTCCTAGTGGAAAGATGACACAAACCAGGCAGAAGGAATCATGGCTGGCTTAGGTTATGGGGTGGGAGATAACGGATCTGCTCATCTGTTCTTTATCAAGTCAACACTTCCGTGTAGAGTTGCAAACAGAATCAAGTAACCCTTTTGCAAACACTAGGATCATTATTCTTGTTTATACAGTTCTTAACCACAACTCAGCAGAATAGTTAACAATATAGAAAACATGTATCAGGAATTCACCAAGCTCCTTCAGTGGATTTACAATTGATGGTACTTTGACATGATTAATAGAATACAATGGGGCCTCCCTGGTGGCGCAAGGGGTTAAGACACAACCTATGAAGCTGTCCGCAGCCACCGCAGCACGAGTTTGATCCCCTGGCCCGCCAGGGAGCAACCCACATGGCGCAGCAGACTTCTGACTCACCCGCTGCTCCCCTCAGCAGTATACTTCCGTCTATCTGCCTGTTCTGTTCCCCACTCTGTCTCTGGTGAATCCTCTCACCCCCTGCACCTCTGGCCTGTACCCCAGCTCTTGCATGCATATATAAATAAATAAATCTTAAAATAGAATACAATGATGTAAAAATATGCTACATGACATGTCTCGTGAAGACTTTATAGCAAGATGTATATTAGAAACTTGTTCTCTTTTCAGCATATACACATGAATACAATTTCAACTCAAAAACAAATCAAGTCAGAGAAAAGTTAATTTGTGACCTAAACTGTTCTAAGAAGGTCTTGGGAGGCAGATAACATGGACAGCTATGGCAAAGTGGTAGAAACCATAGCTTTGGGATCAGCTGTACCCTAACTTGCTATGGGTTCTTGGGCAAGTCATTTAACCTGTCTGGGCCTCAGTATTCTCATCTATGAGAAAAATATTTGGGGCACAGTATGTGAAATGTGAGACACTGTATATGAATCGCTCGAGTATGTATTAGAAAATGTGAGAAGAGTCTGGCTCTAGGCCAGGACTCAAATACCACCTCTACTGGTTATCAGCTATCTGACCTGCAGCAAGTCCATCTCTCCAGGCCTCGGTTGCCACTCTGTAAATAGGATAATACCCCCTCTTTTGTAGGCTTTGGGGGAGAAGTAAGGGTCAATACAGGTAAAGCACTCTGAATAGTGACTTCTACCTACTAAGTGCTCAAAAATTTTGGTAGTTATTACTGGTTAAAAGCATGGGCCACAAACCAGGTTTACCTGGGTGTGAATCCACATTTACTAGCTGTGATTTATGCAGGACATTTAAGCTGACTGCTCTGTCTTCAGCAGAGACAAAAGCAAGCTCTTTTTGTAAAGGATTAAGATGGAAGGCCTCCTTCGGTTTCCACTGTTATGGACAGCTCTAAAATTGGGAACTAATAGTTTGTTTGTTTGTTTATTTATTTATTTATACATACACACATACATACATACAAGCACTGGGTACAGTCAGAAGCGCGGGAGGGTGAGAGAATTCACCAGAGCCAGAGCGGGGAGCAGAGCAGGCAGAAGGACCGAAGTCCACTGCTGAGGGGAGCAGCAGGTGGCAGGAGAGGTCTGCGCGCCATGCGGGACCCTCCTCTGGTGGCCGGGGAGCAGCCAGGGATCGAACTGGGCAGCTTCGCAATCCAGCGCTCAACCGCTGCGCCACCAGGGAGGCCCAGGAACTAATATTCTTCACCTTATTCTTCTCCTCCACTGGAGAGTTTTTGATTATTGCGCTTTACATTTACAACTAAACACGCAAGTGTGCTAGAAAGACGACGAAATTCAAATATACGGTGACCAAGAAGCCGGATGACTAAAGGGTGGCTGGATGAGACTGGAGGGGAGGAAGAGCTTCACAGGTGGAGTTTTGGAGCCTTTCAGACTAGGTGCCTCCTTCACCTCACAGCTGGGTGACCATCCCCCCCTGCCAGCCGTGCCCCTGCCTGTGCCCAGTCGCTCTGTGACCAGGAAACACTAACTGGATTGCTGAGTTCACTGGGAGACATTGCCCGAGGACGCCCCAGGCACGGAGTAGGTTGCATTGAGTTTCCACCTCCTCCCTGGCCACCGGCATGTGACAGGCCTCACGGTCCCTCAAGAACACGACCGCGAGACAGAGAGGACAAAGAAGATGCAAGAGCTCTGAGCTGGCTCCGAACCCGGTGCCTCACCCCGGGCCTGGGAGGCTGCACCGCCCGGAACTGCCCGCGGGCGTCGGGCCCCAGCGAGGGAGCAACAGGCAACGCCCGGGCTCCGCGCCACACCTCAGTTTCCCCATCCTCCCCCTCCATCCTCCAGGCGTCGCTAAAATGCCTGAGGGGTCCCCTGAACGAGGCTTTCTCGCAGTTCCCTCCCCCCCCTCACAGGTAAGTCCTCTCACTCTCACCTCAGCGCCCCGCGGCTTCTCCATGAGACCTAACACAGTCTTCAACCGTCACCAGGTGCGGGAAGCCATGTTGGCCTCGCCGCTGTCCGCGGGCGCGCTCATTGGCTGCCTTCCGGAGCCACCGACCAATCCCGCTGCAGGAAGGCGGAAAAGCCCGTCCCGCCCCCTCCTGGCGCCCTCCCGTCGCGGGGGCTGGGCCGCGGGCGCTTGTGGGGGTTGTAGTTCCCGGTGCGCGCGCGCGGAGACGCGTGGCCGCCGCGACCAGAGCATTCCCCGGCGCCGGCCGAGCGGCGGCTAGCGGGGGCGGGGACTGTCCTCCGTTCCAGCCTCTTCCCCTGGTCCCCACTCCGTTCTTCATTAAACGGTTATTGAGCACCTACGACAGTCAGGTGCTGTTCCAGGCGGCGAGGAAACCTCACTTTTCCCGATTAGAAATGGAAGGTGTCTTGGACCAGGACGCCTGAGTTCGGGTGACGCCTGTGGAGAAGAGGGCCAGAGGCAGCTGAGGGCGACCCTTGTGGCGCAAGCTGTTAAGACGCAGCACGACGAAGCTGTCCGCAGCCTCTGCAGCACGACCGCCATCCCCGGCCGGGGAGCTGCCCACAGGGCGCAGCAGCCCTCCCCCGTCTCCCCGCTGCTCCCCTCAGCAGGGGATTTCAGTAGATCCGCCTGTTCTGCTCCCCACTCTGTCAGGTGGGTCCTCTCACCCCCCACACCTCTGGCCTGTACCCCAGCTCTTGTATGCATAAGTAAATAAATCTTTTTTTTTTAAGAAGTGGAAATATTTGAGGTAGGTTTTGAGAAGTCAGGCCAGAGGTGTGGGGGGGGGGTTGGGGTGTTGAGAGGATTCACGAGACAGAGTGAGGAGCAGAACAGGTGGATCTAACGAAATACGCTGCTGAGGGGAGCAGTGGGGAGACAGGAGAGGTCTGCTGCACCCTGTGGGTAGCTCCCTGGCCGGGGATCGAGCTCGTGCTGCAGCGGCTGGCGATAGCTTCATAGTGCTGACACTTCACCCCTTGCGCCACCAGGGAGGCACAATTTTGGCTTCTTTTTGTCCCTGCTGCCACACTTAAATCCAGACCACTATCCTGTGGATTCCACTGACGCCTCTTAGCTGGCTTCCTCTCTTACCCAAACAGTGGATCAATTAATTCCCCGGCATCAAAGATTCGCAAACTGGATGCTTTTTTCTGTATCATGTCACTCATTTCTGTCTGACCCTCCCCCAGTGATGTAGAAGACCTTTGCGGAGGCGCAGGGTAACAAGCTGACATTAGAGAGTTAAAGAGTTGTTCATTCAAAAAATTTTCTGTGGGCCTCCCTGGTGGCGCAGCGGTTGAGCGCTGGGTTGCGAAGCTGCCCGCGGCCTCTGCAGCGCTGGTTCGATCCCCGGCTGCTCCCCGGCCCCCGGAGGAGGGTCCCGCATGGCGCGCAGACCTCTCCTGCCGCCCGCTGCTCCCCTCAGCAGTGTCCTTCGGTCCTTCTGCCTGCTCTGCTCCCCGCTCTGGCTCTGGTGAATTCTCTCACCCTCCCGCGCTTCTGACTGTACCCAGTGCTTGTATAAACAAACAAATAAATAAAAATAACATGCCTCTATTAATAAAAAAAAATTAAAAAAAAAATTCTGTGTGCTCAGTGACCTGCGCATGGTGGCTGCAATGCTGAATGGCGGACGGCACAGTTCCTGCCCTCCAGGAGCTTCCTTCCTGTATGGGCCCTAAGAAAGAAGAGCCACACTTTCTGGCCCCTAAAACGCCCCCATGCACCCCTCCTCGGCACCCCGGAAGGTGCTGACGTCTTCAACGCCCGGTCTGCACCTGGGCCCTGAGCCGCCTCGGTCAGCCGCATGTGCAGAATGAGCTCATCGCGGGAGCTCCCAGCCCCGGCGCGCGGGTGGTGGGAGGTGAGGTTGGGGAGGAGCGAGCGAAGCGCGGCGCCACACCTGCCCGGCGCCGGCCCCGGCCCCGCCCACTCCTGGTGCAGGGGGCGGGGCCGGGAGTCACCTGGTCGGGCGGCGCGCGCGGGGTCCTAGCGCCGACTGCGGCTGCCCGACGCCCCGCCCCTCGCCCCCCCCCCGCCCCGCCCCCGGAAGCCCGCCCGCCCCGCGGGACTGCGAGCAGCGCGGCGCGGGTCGCTGGGACCTGGGGGTCCGGTTTAGGGAACCAGTGGCGGCGTGAATGCGGGGGGGCGCGGGGGGCGGGACGGGAGAGCCCGCCGCGGGTCTGGCGCCCCGCGAAGGGGGAGGGCCCGGCCCGCCCGCGTCCCGCCGGCCTCGGGTGAGGGGCGCCGCGGCCCCCCCGCTGCGAGCCCCCCGCGTCCGGCCGGGCTGCGCCCCGCGGCGGGGAGGACGGCGTCGGGCGTGCGCCCCGGCCCGCCGGGTTACTGCCGCTCGAGCCGGCGGGGCGCACCTGCGGCCGACCTGGCGGCTCTCTCCGGCCCGCGGGCGCGGCTCGGGGGACCGCGGGGGCGAGCCGGGGGACCCCCGAGCGCCGCCAGGCCCGGGAGCACGTGGCGCTTTCTCGGCCACTACTTTAAACAAGCTGGGTCCTCCTGCCGGTCCCCCACTATCAAGAACCGTATCTCAGCAGCCCAGGTCGCCATGGCAGCAGTTTTAATCATTTTTTTAAATTTTTTAAAAAGATTTATTTATGCATACAAGAACCAGGGTACAGGCCAGAGGTTTGAGGAGTGAGAGGATTCATCCGAGACAGAGCTGGGAACAGAACAGGCAGAAGGACTGAAATACACTGCTGAGGGGAGCAGCGGGGGGCCAGGAGAGGTCTGCTGCGCCCTGTGGGCAGCTCCCTGGCCAGCCAGGGATTGAACTCGTGCTGCAGAGGCTGCTGATTGCTTCATAGTGCGGTGCTTAACCCCTTGTGCCACCAGGGAGGCCCTAATGATTATTTTTAAACGTATTATTGTTTAATAGTTCTTACTGGTTCCAGCTGAACCAAGTATGAGGCGTCCTTTAGGCCAAATCAGAATTGGGAGTTAGTTGGATGGGGGTTGATTGACTCCTTAAAATTCCAACTGAATATTTTGGAGTTTCTAAGTAACAATTCTTTTGAGGGCATAGTGATAATTTTTGTCCTAGCTGTTGACAGGTCTACCTTCTAGCAAATTATTAGAAGGAACATGAGAAATGTAAGTAGGGATTTTGAAGTATCAGTTAAAGGAATTTAAAGTTTACAGAAAAATGGCAGTTAATTTGATACCACTTCTGGATGTGTAAAGTTAATTGGCACATGCTATCAAATGCCCATTTTTGAGGTGTGTGTATACATGCAGGGGGGCTATGCAGGTGGCAGCCTGTTACCACAAACACCTGGAGATGCATGCTGTTGTTTTTTTCCCCCAGTCCTCACAAGCCTGTGAAAGGGGAGGCAGTAAAACCAGTTCCTGTTACCTGTGATGTGTGCCAGGTGGGCTCAGTATCCCTCCCCCGGCAATCCAGTAACATTGACATCCTCGTAAACTTAAAAGGCAGCAGGAGTTCTTATCCCCTTTTAGAAACATGGAGACTGGCTCTTAGAAAAGTTAACTAAGCCCCATAGGTGCCAAAAAACTTAAACTTTTCACTATTGTCCCTCGCTTTTACATTGTCCATCCAGGCTCTGAGTGAACAGATATTGAAGGAACATCTATGTATGCCGGGTGCTTTTGAGTATTTTACTGAATCCCTGTGCAACCCACCATTGCCTGTTGCTCTTTTCAGCTGAAATGAATTAGCATATCTTTAAAAAAACCAGGATGGGAGATAAGCACTTTAAATCCTCAGGGAGGTCACAGCTCCCTTTCCAAATGTGATGTGTGCTGGGGGGACAGTGGCTGCAGTTCCTGCAAGGCGAGCCTGACATCTCAGAGAATGTAAGACAAAAATGGGCACCTTTTGTAACAAATTGCATTACAAGAGCATTTTCTTCCACTGATAATCCATTAAATATGAAAATGTCACTGGTTTCCTATCATAAATGCATGTAATATTGATTAGTAGGACTAACCATTGATCTGGCATTTGCACCATCTAGATGTTAATTATGAGAAAGCAGCACATGGAAAAAAAAATTTTTTTTTTTTTTTGTGGGACCCTCGCTGGCAGCGGGGGAACAAACTGGTGCTGCAGAGGCTGCGGGCAGCCTCGCAGCCCAGTGCTCAACCCCTGCGCCACCAGGGGAGGCCCTGGAAATTTTTTTTAATAGTATGTAGAAATTCTTTTTTTTTTTTTTTAAAGATTTATTTATGCATACCAGAGCTAGGGTACAGGCCAGAGATGCGGGGGTGAGAGGACTCACCAGAGACAGAGCGGGGAACAGAACAGGCAGATTGACCAAAGTACACTGCTGAGGGGAGTAGCGGGCGAGACAGGAGAGGTCTGCTGCGCCATGTGGGTTGCTCCCTGGCCGGCCGGGGATTGAACTCCCACTGCAGAGGCTAAGGCTTGCTTCATAGTGTGGTGCTTAACCCCTTGCGCCACCAGGGAGGCCCCAGCATATGGAAATTCTAATGTAGGCAGTTAAGAAAGATGATTTGTAGATTGTTGAAAGGCCTTCAGATACTAAAATCTGAGCATCAGGGCCTCCCTGGGTGTGCAAGGGGTTAAGCACAGCACAATGAAGTTATCAGCAACCTCTGCAGCAAGAGTTGGATCCCTGGCCGGCCAGGGAGCAACCCACATGGCACAGCAGACCTCTCCTGTCTCCCCGCTGCTCCCCTCAGCAGTGGATTTCAATCTGCCTGTTCTGCACCCCACTCGGTCTCGGGTGAATCCTCTCACCCACCACAACTCTAGCCTGTACCCCAGCTCTTGTATGCATAAATAAATCTTTAAAAAAAATCTGAGCATCAAGGGGAAAAGGGACTGAGGTTGTCTTCAATCTTAATCCCCTTCTAACTGATCTTTGCAATCTGAGCAACTTTTTAAACATAAATCTTTTTTTTTTTTTTTAAGATTTATTTATTTATTATACAAGCACTGGGTACAGTCAGAAGCGCGGGAGGGTGAGAGAATTCACCAGAGCTAGAGCGGGGAACAGAACAGGCAGACTGACGAAGTACACTGCTGAGGGGAGCAGCGGGCGGCAGGAGAGGTCTGCGCGCCATGTGGGAC